AATAGGCTTTGTCATGCCCTCTTCACGACTGTCTTGGTGTGTTTGGACTATGATAGTTCGTTGGTGATGTGGACACCAAGGAACTTGAAGCTCTCAACCAGTTCCACTACAGCCCCGTCGATGAGAATGGGGGCGTGCTCAGTCCTCTTTTTTCCCCCTGTAGTCCACAATCATCTCCTTTGTCTTGGTCACGTTGAGGGAGAGGTTGTTATCCTGGCACCACACGGCCAGGTCTCTGACCTCCTCCCTATAGGCTGTCTCATCGTTGTCGGTGATCAGGCCTACCACTGTTGTGTCGTCAGCAAACTTAATGATGGTGTTGGAGTCGTGCCTGGCCATGCAGTCATGGGTGAACAGGGAGTACAGGAGTGGACTGAGCACGCACCCCTGAGGGGCCCCCGTGTTGAGGATCAGTGTGGCAGATGTGTTGTTACCTACCCTTACCACCTGGGGGCGGCCCGTCAGGAAGTCCAGGATCCAGTTGCAGAGGGAGGTGTTTAGTCCCAGGATCCTTAGCTTAGTGATGAGCTTTGAGGGCACCATGATGTTGAATGCTGAGCTGTAGTCAATGAATAGCATTCTCACGTAGGTGTTCCTCTTGTCCAGGTGGGAAAGGGCAGTGTGGAGTGCAATAGAGATTGCATCATCTGTGGATCTGTTGGGGCGGTATGCAAATTGGAGTGGGTCTAGGGTTTCTGGGATAATGGTGTTGATGTGAGCCATGACCAGCCTTTCAAAGCACTTCATGGCTAAAGACGTCAGTGCTACGGGTCGGTAGTCATTTAGGCAAGTTATCTTAGAGCCCTTGGGCACGGGGACTATGCTGGTCTGCTTGAAACATGTTGGTATTACAGACTCAGTCAGGGACATGTTGAAAATGTCAGTGAAGATACTTGCCAGTTGGTCAGCACATGCTCTGAGTACACGTCCTGGTAATCCGTCTGGCCCTGCGGCCTTGTGAATGTTGACCTGCTTAAAAGTCTTACTCACATCGGCTACGGAGAGCGTGATCACATAGTCATCCGGAACAGCTGGTGCTCTTATGCATGCTTCAGTGCTGCTTGCATTTACATTAACATTACATTAACGTCATTTAGCAGACGCTCTTATCCAGAGCGACTTACAGGAGCAATTAGGGTTAAGTGCCTTGCTTAAGGGCACATCGACAGATTTTTCACCTAGTCGGCTCGGGGATTAGAACCAGCGACCTTTCGGTTACTGGCACAACGCTCTTACCCACTAAGCTACCTGCCGCCCCTAGAGCAAGCAGCCAGTCAAACAGTTCTGCTTGCTCTTGAAACCTGTTGCCCCACATCACAGGGTCATGGTGAACCTCAATGCAGGCTGTTTACAATGTGTTGTGTCCCAAATGGCACCCTATTCCCTGTGTAGTGCACTACTTTTGACCAGGACCTATAGGGCTCTGTTTACTGAGAGTCATGTTTGACCATGCCTCTGTTGTATTGTACTACCATTTCCTTTAGGAGGGCATCTCTTGTCTGTTGTCTCTTCATCAGGATCAGAGGCTGTTTCACAGGGTAGGCTATATATATTCTCCCAAACACCTGCTCTGGCTTTAAACTCAAAAGTTTGACATGCTACTTTTCTCAGTATCATGGAAAGTGCTACATTCTAAATGGGACGGTGGCTGGTGTCTTCAATATTCTCACTGTTATATAATACCTACAGGACAGCTTTACTTACATACATACATACATACATACATACATACATACATAACCAATAAGTTGAAGCTTTACAGTGAGAATGTCTTATAATTACCCATCAATGTGAGCAAGGAAACATGTTTCCCTGCATGGTTTAACATGGACATGTTGATTGACATAATCACAGCGTCTCAAGATGGTTGTATGATCTGTTTCGTTTCTTGCGAGCTTTCTCTCTCTCGCTCTCTCATTTAACTGAGCAAGGGATTAGCCCTAATGATTCCTTCCTGTATAAATTTGGTAAGCATGCACACATACATGAAAGAAGTAGACTGAGACCTTTCCTTCCTCCTGCTCTTCCACCTGCTCCCCCTCCTCCTGCCCCTCTTTCCTTCCTCCTGCTCCCGCTCCTCCCACTCCTCTTCCCACTCCTCCTCCTGCTCCCATCCTCCTCCCTCTCCTCCTCCTCCTGATCTAATGGGGCCATTGTACTCTCAGAAAGGATCTGTGGGCTGAATATTCATTTAGATGAGCAGGGAGATTTGCCCCAGCCGGCCCTCTCCTCCTCTCACCTGCTCATTGGCAGGTCCAGGCTGTGTGTTATGTAATGATCAGGTGATGTGCTGGCCTGGCCTGTTAGTAATTTAGTCTGCTGCTCCACCAGCAGATCAGGCTAGCTGACACCACCACTGCCCTAAAGACGAGCTAGGTGGACAGACTGTCGCATATGTAATGAAACCTCACTGTACATAATATGCTTTTGCTGTTTATTTTGGATATATTTATTCAGTATCATTTTTAGGATATTTGGGAATCTGGGTATTTATGATGATTCATTTATTTAACATTTACATTTACATTTTAGTCATTTAGCAGACGCTCTTATCCAGAGCGACTTACAGTTAGTGCGTACATTATTTTTATACTGACCCCCCGTGGGAAAATTGTCCTCCGGATAGATACAGATCACCGTAGATGTGTATTTTCACGAGTCATCGTGTCATTTTCATGAGTGAAACATATACATCTCTATAAGGAAATGGAGTTAGTCAGAAATGTGTGGTGCTTTTTGCTTACAGTAGTCATTCTGGGTAAAGCAGTGCCATTTTGAATGAGGCCAGCAATCTGTCTATTCAGATCAGTTGTTGTGGTTATCCTCTCTGTATTTAAGAGTTATTTGTGTGACTGTTCTTGTCTCTGTCTACCACTGTTTTGTTACTTGTTGTGTTTCATGTATTTGTGTGGACCCCAGGAAGAATAGCTGCTGCTTCAGCAAAACCTAATGGGGATCTGAACAAACCAATAGTTCACAGCCCCTTGTTGTTGACAGATATCTTATTGTTACTTTTCAAGCATCAGCCAATGCAGGACCTGAATGCCAGCCTAGTTGCCATCCACACATACTGGGCACAAGGAAAGAGCTCTGTTTGGACTACTAAGATGCTGTGTCCCAAATTGCACCCCAATCCCTTTAAAGTGCACTACTTTTGACCAGAGCCCTGGTCAAAAGTAGTGTACTATAAAGGGAATTGGGTGCAATGTGGGATGCAGGCAGGGTGAAGTCTCCAGTGTTTTTCGGTCTGGCCTGTGTATGCACCCTTTGAGGCGCTCTTATGCTGCTTTTCGACTGTAACACCAGTGTTACACCAGTGTATACACCCTTATGTTATACTAGGGAAATTGTGTTTCCATAGCTAAAGCTGACAGTGAGGACTTGTGAAGAGCAGAATCAACAACCTCTGCAAAATCAAAACAGTTGTTTTGTGAGAAGGTGTTAAAGTTCACAGTTAGCCATTGTTATGCAAATGCAAGGTGAAAAAAAACAGTGGCCTGGCTTCGGCCCCAAGTGAGACACGGGTGCCAGCCCGCGTAGATGGAAACAGAAAAGTCTGAGCATTTGGGGTAAAACACCGGGGTAAATCCTGTATGGAAATGCGCCATTACTTCTGTAATTAACAAACAAAGAGCATTGACCGGTGAAGGGTCTTGGACAAAAAAAAGCTGGGGTACCTCGGCAGCAAACAGAGCAGAAACACAAGGTGGCCATACACTCAGTCTTCCTCCTTCAGCCTGGATTTGATGAGAGACGTGTTAAACAGAAGCCCATGCTGTAACAGCCACACAAATTGCCTTATGTTGAGGTAAACATTGACACCTCTTACAATTAGCCTTCCCATACAACATGGCTGATTGTGGGATGACGTGTAGTAGATCTGTGGCTGACTGTGAGAGTCATGTTTAACACCCATCTCAGTCTCTCATTGGTTCACTAGCTGCTGTGCCCCTCAATCTAACACCTCACGTCAACAGACTCTCTCTTGATTTTATTGTTAGTACAATGATGATCCACAATTACATCTGCAGTACAATTTTAAGGCATGATGTAGCTAGTTTCTGGGTCTCTCGTTGTCCTAAATGGCGTCTTGTTTCAAACGTTTTGTACAGACATCCAATAACTTGCAGGTGCTAGGGTAGAAAAAATAAACGGATAAAATATAGGTAGATACCCGTATACTGATGACTGCTCCAGCGGTTTATTGCAAAGTTTCGACCTGAAGGTCTTCGTCAGGCTTGAGCCTTAATGGTGTCTTCTCCTCTCTCTTTCTGTAGTTGTTGATATTTGCTGAAGATGAGTAGTGCGGGGGACAACACCCCCGACCCTGCTGCCAGGGGAGAGTCTCTGAAGCGGAAAGAATGTGGCCCGGACCTCCTGGGGCCCAGGTAAGATCAGCTGTCAAACGCACACAACCATAGTATGCGTCCCAAATGGCAGCCTATTCCCTCTAGTGCACTACATTTGATTAGGGCTCTTACAGTTACAGATCCCTCTCCAATGTGCGCACACACAGTCACTCACACACATACATACATATACACACACACCTCAACACATCCATAGTTACAGATCCCTCTCCGATGCAAAGCTCTAGAAGGTCATTCAGCAGTCAGGTTATACACTGGTCATGCGGTCATACAGAGAGCATGCCCTGCGTTCAAAATGGCACCCTTTTCCCTATTTAGTGCACTAGTTTTGACCAGAATGTTATCAAAGGTAGTGCACTTTGTAGAGAATAGGCTGCCGTTTGGGACGCAGGCACAGTGATCAGGTTAACAGTTGTCAGTTCATACACTGGTCATGCAATGAAAAAATGACATGTTTTTTTCTTTTTTTTCTTGCCGTGTATTCATCTTAATTACCTGTATAGGCTATCTATATTGCTTGCTTAAGTTTTGATAAACAGACACCAGACGTATTGCTGTGAAAGTGTTTTTCCTAATCAGTGTTGTTCACGTGCCCTGGGTTGTCGGTTTTCTTACCTCTGTCTCTGTCTCCACAGCCCCAAGCGGAGCACGGAAAAACCACACCGGGAGCATGAAAACAAATACATTGAAGAACTTGCTGAGTTGATCTTTGCAAACATCAACAACATTGACAACTTCAATGTCAAGCCTGACAAATGTGCAATCTTGAAAGAAACTGTGAAGCAGATTCGTCAAATAAAAGAACAGGGTAAGGCTTTATTTGATTTTAGTTGACTCTTTCTTTTCTAATATTGAGTGAATTGCCCTTTATTGTAAGAACACACATTCCTCTGTCACAAAATCACTTACGTTCTCCAAAATACCACACTTACTGTACGTTTCGTGTGAGCGAGCAGGACTGTGTGCGTGTATTTCAGTCAGCTGCAAGCTGCGTTGTTGTGTGTGTCTGTGCTTGGACAGCGTCTGGGGGAGAGATGTAATGTGTTAAAGGGGCAGGAAGCCTGTTTGTCAGCCTGCGTAGAAATACAGGCTGAGGCTGCTGCCTGGAAGGGCAGACAACAGCTGATCAGAGACGCACACACAGCGGCAGATCAGATGAGACACTCTTCTTAATGAGGATGATCATGAAAAGCAGGCTGTTTGTTATTCACTGACTGGATTATATAATGATGAGCAATGTGTTGTAAGACTCAGAGGAAACTAGTCTGATTGGCGTGAGCGCCTGTGGCAGAGATAGAGGCAGGGCTCTGACGGTTCCTACTGTACTGATGTGAAAAAGCATCCTGCTGTTCCAGCTTTAGGTGAGATGTTAGTGTGAGAGTCGGCCTTTCTGTATTAAACAGTCAGAGCCATAGATGGGCGATTCCACTTCAACTTAAAATATTTTTGTTATCTCGGATTGTTCTGGCAATTCTCACATAGAAACTTAATCGTGATGAAGGATGTTTGAAATGCTTTTTACATTTGTATCACAAACAAGGCCATTTTATGACTTTTTTTTAGGCCTAGACATGCCTCCTGTAAGACCCTATGATCTGTGATATGTACATGATATAGACGTACTGGTGTCATTATACTCCTTATAGTGTGCTCTAAAATAGGGAGTGTGTCTTGATTCTGAAATAAAAGATTTCACATTAATTTATTCAACAGAAAAAATATTTTATCTCAACTACCCTTTTTGATTTAGTTCATTTTAAGACATTTTTTGGAACAATATACTCTACAAGTGGACTCTCTGCTAATTATGAAGTTATCATTATTTTTTATGAGTACCACCAACAGTGAATGGGACAGATGCAACACAATATACAATCTCTTGATTCTGTCAAACACTATTATACACTAGAAGGATTGATTGCAAAAGATATTGGGATTGACAGTGCCTTCAGAAAGTATTCAACCCTTTGACTTTTTCCACATTTTGTTGTGTTACAGCCTGAATTTAAAATTTATTAAATTGAGATGGCACACAATACCCCATAATGTCAAAGTGGTATTATGTTTGTAAACATTTTTACTAATTAAAAATGAAAAGCTAAAAGGTCTTGAGTCAATAAGTATTAAACCCCTTTGTTATGGCAATAAGTTCAGGAGTAAAAATGTGCTTTATTATTTGCTGAAATAAGTGTTTAATGTGATTATCTTTTTTATGACTACTTCCTCTCAGTACCCCACACATATCATTTGGTGTAAGGTCCCTGAGTCGAGCAGTGAATTTCAAACACAGGGAAGTTTTCCAATGCCTCGCAAAGAAGGGCACCTATGGATAAAGTGAAGTTACTAATTACACTTTGGTTGGTGTATCAATACACCCAGTCACTACAAAGATACAGGCATCCTTCCTAACTCAGTTGCCGGAGAGGAAGGAAACTGCTCAGGGATTTCACGGTAAGGCCAATGGTGACTTTAAACCAGTTAGAGTTTAATGGCAGAAACCTGAGGATGGATCAACAACATAGTATTGTGGAGTAACTGCAAACTTAAATGACCGAGTGAAAAGAAGGAAGCCTGTACATTATAAAAAATATTTTTAAAACTGCATCCTTTTTGCATTAAGGCACAAAAGTAAAACTGCAAAAAATGTGGCAAAGAAATGAATTTCCTGAATAGAAATGTCCTGAATAGAAAGCATTATGTTTGGGGCAAATCCAACACAACACATCACTGAGTACCACTCTTTATATTTTCAAGCATGGTGGTGGCTGCATCAGTATGCTTGTCATTGGCAAGGACTAGGGAGTTTTTAGGATAAAAAGAAACTGAATAAAACTAAGCACAGACAAAATCCTAAAGGAAAACCTGGTTCAGTCTGCTTTCCAACAGACACTGGGAGACATCCCCCTTTCAGCAGGACAATAACCGAAAACACAAGGCCAAATATACACTGGAGTTTTTTACCAAGACGACATTGAATGTTCCGGAGTGGCCTAGTTACAGTTTTGACTTAAATCTGCTTGAAAGTCTATGGCAAGACTTGAAAATGACTGTCTAGCAATGATCAACAACCAACTTGACAGCGCTTGAATCATTTAAAAAAGAATAATGTGCAAATATTGTACAATCCAAGTGTGAAAAGCTCTTAGAGACTTACCCAGAAAGACTCACAGCTGTAATCGCTGCCAAAGGTGATTCTAACATGTATTGACTCGGGTGTGAATACTTATGTAAATTAGATATTTCTGTATTTTATTTTCAATACACTAGCAAATTTGTCTAAAAACATGTTTTCACCTTGTCAATATGGGGTATTGTGTGTAAATTATGTCAAATTTTCCCAGCTAGTTGGCTTTCAATATTGCACTGATAAACGATGGGGAATAGTAGCCTGCTCGCCCACGTTTTGACAACTGAATGGGAACTTGCCTGCCCGCCCATTTGATCGATGCCAAATATATTTTATTGACAACCTAAGGGTGCGTTTGTGTATTGCCTCCAGTGTGTCAGAGTGCTCTCTGGTCGTTCGTAAATTCAAAGCATTTCGCTTGCCGAGCGCACACTGCACTATTGACACTGGACGCTCTGGCTGGGAGTAGGGTTGATCCGAGCGTTCCTCACAGCGGCAGTCAAGCACCCAAGCTAACTGTCTAAAGTTGGCAAGCTTGCTAGCTACTTCCAGACACAAATGAGAGAACACCTAACTCTGACCATTTTACTCACCCTAGCAGAGCTGGTTAGGCTGTATCTACATGTTATCTAGAGCGTAAGTGACTAACTGTGCTGCTGGCAATTACTTTTTTTGCTGATGTTTACTGACACTGGTCATATTCAGTGGGTGTTGTGCGTTCCTAAATTCATCAGTTATTTTGCGCTCTGGCACACTCTGAGTGCTCTGAAATCGGAGTAGATAGCCAGAGTGAATTTACAAATGCAAGAGATATGCTAACTGGAGAACAGTCGTTCAAGTTTAGAATAGCTAGCTAGCAAAGCGATTCATATTTTTTCCTAGCTAACCAAGTGATACCTGCATCTCTAGCTGTAGCCACGGAAAAACGATATGAGGGGAAAGGTCGGTCCTCCCAGCATCTAGCTAGCTAACGTTAGGCTCCGGGTTTTTAGCTTGCTAGATAAATATACCTACATAAATAGATACGCTAGCCTATTAGCCACGTTATGACTGACTTGTGATTATTGCCCTTGCTAGTTTGATTGTATTGACAATCCCGGCTTTAGTTACATTAGTCCGTTTTGTCCAAAATATTTAGTCATTGAAACTGACAGTGCTTCCCGACTGTGTGGAGGCAGCAAAACATGTACCAGGGCAGCTGTGAATATATATATATTTTTAATTGTTTATCCTTTTATTTATTTATTTATTTTGTTGTCATTTAGCAGACACTCTTATCCAGAGCGACTTAGTTAGTGAGTGCATACATTATTTATTAAAAAAATCATACTGGCCCCCCGTGGGAATCGAACCCACAACCCTGGCGTTGCAAGCGCCATGCTCTACCAACTGAGCTCCACGGGGCTCATATTTGCAACCTGATAGCAATATTTTTTGGACTACCAAGAAATGTATTGGTGAATTATATTAATCATGCATTGAACTGCATCCATCTGTTCTGCCAACAATGCCTTAATGTACATCATGGAATTTTTTGTCAAATATAACCTATTTTTAAAACCTCTTATAAAGTTAGTTTTGTAGCATAAACTGGGAATTTGATATTTTTTACTTTCATATCTGCAAAGTAGTTAACACTGTCAGTTCCACTTTAATAAAGCGTAGAGCGCTATGATAGACTGCATCTATCGGCTTTAATGTATTGGCAGCTGCATTTATATAGATATCGCCATAGTCTAGAACCGGTTGGAACATTGACTGAATCATGAGCTTTCTGCTATTTAACAAGAGGCATGACCTATTTCTATAGAAGAAGCCCATTTTTATTCACAACTTAACTAACTCTTCAATATGCTTTTTAAAAGATAGCTTTTCATCTATCCAGATGCCCAGATATTTATAAGCGGGGACACGATCAATGTGGGCACCATCCAAAGTACAAATGCCTAAATCATCAGATACATTTTTAAGTGTTCTGGAAAACAACACACTTGGTTTTATCTGCATTCAGCACCAATTTCAGTTCAACAAAGACTTTCTGTAAAGCAATGAATGCAGACTTTAGCTCAAAGAACCTGGTCGATCGTGGGGGCAAAAGCATACACAACAGCGTCAATGGCATACAAGTGCAGGTTAAATGTTTTTTGTTACAGATAAACCAATAGTGTTAATTTAAATGGTGAACAGAAATGGACCAAGAATTGATCCCTGTGGGACACCTTTTGTTATGTCCAGAAAACCTGATTTTATTTTTAAACCAGCTACACACAGCCTGGTTCAGACCAATTGATGAGCCTCTGAATAAGCAATGAGTGATCAACAGTATCGAATGCCTTAGACAGGCCAATGAAGAGGGCAGCACAATGTTTCCTTGTATCCATGCAATTGAATTAACCACATTTTAAACCATGGAAGCATCAGAGATGGTCTGAAACCAGACTGACTGATGTACATTTAGAATTCGTAGTAAAAAAATATTTTAGCTGAGAATTAATCAATGATTCTTATATTCTTGCTACAGTTAGTGTAGTTGTCAGTGGTAGTTGGTGTACAGGCCCAGTGTTAGTTGTTGTACAGGGACAGGAATGTCAGCTATGTACCCTAATGAGGCAGGCAGGACAGAGAGCGGAGAGCTTGACTCTGTAGTGGCACCAACCAATGCGACCACAGTAGGAGAGAGAGAAAGAGAGAGGAGCTCCAGCGGGGAGGATGACTGGAAGGGACGGGCCTAGTGAGGCATTAACACAATATCCAATCACTCAATGATGCACACTGGTATTTAAGTCAACACACACATTATTCCCAAGTACATCAACAGTATGGTGGTTTACTGTTTTCACTTGGCTAGGTATAGACTGTGGGAAATTATGTTGCTAAATGATAATGATAATCAGTGTGCCCAGACAAAATTAAAATTAACACCTGTTGTAGTCATTCTCAGGGCTGGTCAAATTAGTGCATCCTAGAAATGAATCAGCACCCACACAGACCACTACATTTAATTGCCCTTATTATTTTCAAAATTAATGTTTTGGTGTTGACAGGATTCTGTCAGTTTGAATGACAAATTAGTCACATTGTCTTTTGATCCTCCCATCTCAGGATTTTTGTTTAGACTATGGTATATTTAAGTAGTCAAGTTTTCTTTCAACACAACACTCCCATTGCAATGGCTGTGCTGGGGCTGACATGATTACATGTTAAGTTGTGAAACATGTCTAACAAACACTCTCTCTCTCCCCCTCCCTCACCTACTCCCTCTCCTCCTCCCCCTCCCCCCTCTTTCTCACTCACTCACTCACTCACTCACTCACTCTCTCCCTCCCCTCTCTCCAACCCAGCAGAGAAAACAACAACTGCCAATGCAGAGGAGGTACAGAAAGCACACGTCTCATCAACAGGCCAAAGCGTTATTGACAAAGATGCTCTTGGACCAATGATGCTCGAGGTGGGTGGGAGCAACGCACACTATTCACAACACTGACTCACTTTGGATCATGTGATCCCTTTTACCTTGAACACACACACAAGTCACATGATTACCAGGATTTGTGAAATCGACACATTTAAAATATATAGGGGTATATAACTCCCGCTGCATAGGGTTGTAGCTAACGCCCCTGCAAGTTTATTAATGCACAATAGAACAAAATGTAAATCCGCACACTGGTATAATGCGCCCAAAATGTGTAATTGGACAAAGTTTCGACCCCAAACTGGGTCTTTGTCAGGACAAGTTGTTCACCAATGCACGAGCCTGGTCCTCGTGTGACAACAGACAGAGGGGTCCCTCTATCTATATGCAGGGAAAGTGGCCATCAGTGAGTGGCTGCCAGTGTTATTCTCCAGTTCTGTCTAATCTGTTGTGTCAGTGGGTATTTATACTCCCTCTGGCCCCTACGTCACTGCATTCAGACAGCGGCTGCGTCCCAAATGGCACCCTATTCCCCACATAGTGAAAAGGGTGCCATTTGAAACGACCTACATCATGGCATTCAGACACAGTAGACTCTAAATATAACCACTGCGGCCGGTTGTCCGCGCAGTTTGAAGTGGTGCAGGCTGGGAGCAGGGACAATTCACAGCCGGGCTGCTGACGTGGTGGAGGAGAGGATTACTCATCAGTCCTGACTGTAACCAACCATGGGCCATAAAGCAAACTCTGAGAAACCTCTCTGTAGGTGCCAAGAGAACAGGCGTTTTACCCGAAAAAAACCCAGTTTCTCTGTCTATGAAGAGTTCCAACTGTTTGTTCTATGGCACACAGAATAGGTGCAGTATCACCATGGCTGAAGCAAGTTGATAGAGGAAGAGTGTTCCTCTTTTAATCGTGTTAGTGTTTCAAGCATAGTTTGTTACCCTAGTTTGACCCATTTGTAATTGTAGTTTAGTTACATTGTGTACAACCCAAACACACTAATATGACAGTGAATTGTTGCCAGGCCAGAATGAGATTGTACACACGAGGCTGTACTGTTTTAGGCTCAGGGAATGAGTTTAATGGCCTAGCGGTTTTGTACACACACTCCTGTCCTAACACACACACACAAACACACTCTCTCTCTCTCTCTCTCTCTCTCTCTCTCTCTCTCTCTCTGGCTGAGACTTCCTTTTCTCCAAGCTATTTAGTTCACTGAGGATGATGCTACACAATGCTCTTGGTTAAGTCGGTTCGCTGTGCAGTAATACATGGTTATACTGTATGGTTATATTGCAACTTGACTGTCTCTTAATGCTACGGAGCACCGTCATGTTTTAATGATAAGATCCACGATGCATCCCAAATGGCATCCTATTCCCTATATCATGCACTACTTTGGACCAGAAGCCTATGGGCCCTGGTAAAAAGTAGTGCACTATAAAGGAAATAGGGTGCTATTTGGAACAAAGACCCACTATTCACATGCTGTTAGCCCGCCCATTTAATGTCCGATGATCATTCCCTGCTAAAGTTTGGATCTCGGAGCTCTGAATCTGGCTTGGTATGTTAGTGTTGTGCTGCTCAGCCATAATTGACTATCATTTTGTGTGGAACTTAACTTCTTATGCCCTTTTCTTCGTAATGGCTGAATAGTAGAAATAAGGGGTTTGTAAATGGTTTATTTGCTTCAATAGATGGACTATGATGGCTCCCTATTTTGTCAATTTTCTATCCTCACTGTAATGGCTCTGTAAAAACACTTTTTGGCTAATGGCTCAGTAATATCACTTGACTCACCTCTTGGCCCATTGGAACCCAGGCCCTGGATGAACACACTGGCTTCATCCCAAATGGTACCCTATTCCCTATGCACTACTGTCAGGTCCCATAGGACTCTGGTCAATGGAAGTACACTATACAGTGAGGGGAAAAAAGTATTTGATCCCCTGCTGATTTTGCACGTTTGCTCACTGACAAAGACATGATCAGTCTATAATTTTAATGGTAGGTTTATTTGAACAGTGAGAGACAGAATAACAACAAAAAAATCCAGAAAAACGCATGTAAAAAATGTTATGAATTGATTTGCATTTTAATGAGGAAAATAAGTATTTGACCCCACTGCAAAACATGACTTAGTACTTGGTGGCAAAACCCTTGTTGGCAATCACAGAGGTCAGACGTTTCTTGTAGTTGGCCACCAGGTTTGCACACATCTCAGGAGGGATTTTGTCCCACTCCTCTCTGCAGATCTTCTCCAAGTCATTACGTTTTCGAGGCTGACGTTTAGCAACTCGAACCTTCAGCTCCCTCCACAGATTTTCTATGGGAGACTGGCTAGGCCACTCCAGGACCTTAATGTGCTTCTTCTTGAGCCACTCATTTGTTGCCTAGGCCGTGTGTTTTGGGTCATTGTCATGCTGGAATACCCATCCACGACCCATTTTCAATGCCCTGGCTGAGGGAAGGAGGTTCTCACCCAAGATTTGACGGTACATGGCCCCGTCCATCGTCCCTTTGATGCGGTGAAGTTGTCCTGTCCCCTTAGCAGAATAACACCCCCAAAGCATAATGTTTCCACCTCCATGTTTGACGGTGGGGATGGTGTTCTTGGGGTCATAGGCAGCATTCCTCCTCCTCCAAACACGGCGAGTTGAGTTGATGCCAAAGAGCTCCATTTTGGTCTCATCTGACCACAACACTTTCACCCAGTTCTCCTCTGAATCATTCAGATGTTCATTGGCAAACTACAGACAGGCCTGTATATATGCTTTCTTGAGCAGGGGGACCTTGCGGGCGCTGCAGGATTTCAGTCCTTACATTTACATTTACATTTTAGTCATTTAGCAGACGCTCTTAACCAGAGCGACTTACAGGAGCAATTAGGGTTAAGTGCCTTGCTCAAGGGCACATTAACGTCATTTAGCAGACGCTCTTAGCCAGAGCGACTCACAAATTGGTGCGTTCACCCTATAGCCAGTGGGATAACCACTTTACAATTTGGGGGGGGGGGGGGGGGGGGGGGGGGGTTAGAAGGAATACTTTAGCCTATCCCAGGTATTCCTTAAAGAGGTGGGGTTTCAAATGTCTCCGGAAGGTGGTGAGTGACTCCGCTGTCCTGGCGTCGTGAGGGAGCTTGTTCCACCATTGGGGTGCCAGAGCAGCGAACAGTTTTGACTGGGCTGAGGGGGAGCTGTGCTTCCGCAGAGGAAGGGGAGCCAGCAGGCCAGAGGTGGATGAACGCAATGTCCTCGTTTGGGTGTAGGGACTGATCAGAGCCTGAAGGTACAGGGGTGCCGTTCCCCTCACTGCTCCTTCACGGCGTAGTGTGTTACCAATTGTTTTCTTGGTGACTATGGTCCCAGCTGCCTTGAGATCATTGACAAGATCCTCCCGTGTAGTTCTGGGCTGATTCCTCACCGTTCTCATGATCATTGCAACTCCACGAGGTGAGATCTTGCATGGAGCCCCAGGCCGAGGGAGATTGACTGTTATTTTGTGTTTCTTCCATTTGCGAATAATCGCACCAACTGTTGTCACCTTCTCAACAAGCTGCTTGGCGATGGTCTTGTAGCCCATTCCAGCCTTGTGTAGGTCTACAATCTTGTCCCTGACATCCTTGGAGAGCTCTTTGGTCTTGGCCATGGTGGAGAGTTTGGAATCTGATTGATTGATTGCTTCTGTGGACAGGTGTCTTTTATACAGGTAACAAACTGAGATTAGGAGCACCTCCTTTAAGAGTGTGCTCCTAATCTCAGCTCGTTACCTGTATAAAAGACACCTGGGAGCCAGAAATCTTTCTGATTAAGAGGGGGTCAAATACTTATTTCCCTCATTAAAATGCAAATCAATTTATAAAATTTTTGACATGCGTTTTTCTGGATTTTTTTGTTGTTATTCTGTCTCTCACTGTTCAAATAAACCTACCATTAAAATTATATACTGATAATTTCTTTGTCAGTGGGCAAACGTACAAAATCAGCAGGGGATCAAATACTTTTGTTCCCTCACTGTATAGGGAATATAATATAATTTGGGACGCAGTAGATAACAACCCTGAATATACCAAAGGTAGCTGATATTTCTCCCATTTTCTATACTCCAGTCTACATTTTTTGTCAATAACTCACTAATAACCCTCTTCCTCTACTCCCTCTCCACCTAATGGGTGTTTTTGTGTATGTGTGTATATCGGAAGGGTTGGGTAAATTTAAACAAATTTCTGTCTTGTATGGATCAGTTAAGTATTCTTCTTCTTCTAATAAACCTCTTCTTCTCCCGTTGCCTTCCTCGTCAGGCCCTGGACGGGTTCTTCTTTGTGGTGAACACGGAGGGGAACATTGTGTTTGTGTCGGAGAATGTGACCCAGTACCTGCAGTATAACCAGGAGGAGCTGATGAACACCAGCGTCTACAGCGTCCTGCACGTAGGAGACCACGCGGAGTTCATCAAGAACCTGCTGCCCAAGAGCCTGGGTGAGTTACACTACACCTCTCTTTCTCTCATTCCTCTATCAATCCATCACTGCTGCCCAAGTCCCTGGGTGAGTTGAGATTTACCCCCTCACACTCACTGTGACCATCTATCAAATCTATAAACTTTTGCGATTCATGTCCAAATCATCTATAAGTAACTTCAATGAGTTGAACATGAAGTGCGAAAATGCTAATATAGGTACCATTGACTTGAATTGGATTTGTGTCACACATGCTAAAAAGATAGCATTTGAAACAGTGACCAGGTAAACAAAACAGAAGCATGGGTTGCTGTCATACCTTCTTTAAGGAGATGTTAAATCGCCAGTGAATGAGTCAATCAGGACTGAGACAGGAACTCTCCAAGGACTGGATAGAAAGGGGCTTTGAAATGATGATTTGATATTCGGTGCCAATGGGGATAGTAAGTTGATTGTTTTGACCTTTGACCCCCTGTGTGTGTCCTCTAGTGAACTGCAGAGCACCGCGGTCCAGTGAGAATCCCAACAGGAATAGCCACACGTTTAACTGCCGCATGCTGGTCAACCCCCACGGGCCCTGGGAGGGGGGTGAGCAGGAGCCCCAGGACCAGGAGGTGCAGCAGAAGTACGAGACCATGCAGTGTTTCGCCGTGTCTGAGCCAAAGTCCATCAAAGAGGAGGGAGAAGGTACATAAATGTTTGTTTACCATCAAATCGAACTTCAGTTGAAAACACACTTTACAGTCAAACAATTAAATGAAAGAGATACAAAACAAACAAAAGGCAATAAAAGAGGTGAATAAAAGAAACAGGATGTTTACCGTCATCATGAAGTACCATTATGATCAGTTATCCACTGCCCTGTCTTCCCATAAGGGGTTAATGCTGAACTCTTGGAAAGAGGTCTTCTGTCTGAGTAAATTTCACTAAATCTTCTAACATGGAACATTAATACGTTTGTCACAGATGTTACATGTGCACTTCAATAGCACTACACTCTAAAACTAATCATTTTAGGAATGTAAGGTTTTCCAATGTTGGAAGCTATTATTAGTCATGTGTATGATTATCACAAGAATAAACTTTGTGGTCAGCCATATTGGAGTGCTGAAGCTTTGGTTTGGACAGAACTCACAGATCTGGGTCACATTCATTAGTGCAAAACAAGAGTTCATATTGGACATGTGCAGGTAATCCCTCCCCGTTTCAGCCTGTTTGTTTCAGTTTGTTCCTAGTAAATACGGCTTTGTATGATTCTGTGTGGTCGGATGTCTTCTCCTCTCCTCCGTTCATCTCTGTCTCTCCAGTGTCCTGTCCTCCTTTAGATTCCTGTCATCCGTCAGATACATCCTCAGAGAGGACCATGGGATGTCTAATTAGTGTCTGCCACTTCCTTCTTTCCCCCGGAGCTCCCAGGGAAATATTTATGTCTAATTTTAGTACCGCCAGCCGTCCGCCGCTGCTTCCAAGATATTCTGCAAAAAATGTATTTTGACATTGAAACCGCACCAGAGCTGCAAATTCAACGGAGACGCGTTGCTAATGAGAACATGTTGATCGGGAGTAAGGACAGTAACCAGGAGAGTTGAGGCAGGGTGTGAATTGAACATCGCCATGTTGTATCACCTACCGCCTCCAACCAAGAGGATAAGTTGGAGGTCATGTTCATGAACTTGGGCTACTTCTAGGTAAAGCTTTTAATATGTTTCTGTTTTTTTTCTCCTTGTCGTCTAGATTTCCAGTCTTGCCTGATCTGTGTAGCACGAAGGGTTCCAGTCAAAGAGAGGCCCATGCTCCCAACATACGAGAGTTTTACCACCAGGCAGGATCTCCAAGGTAGGGGACAACTACTGTACTAATACTGTACTACTATTACTACTGTACTGAATTAATCTGTTCTAAATTAGTCTTATCACCTCTGTTGTGGGTTGAGAGCATGGTTTGCCGTAGTAGCTAGTTTGCCAGCTACCGAGAGCGGAGTGATTTTCAGAATTAGGAACTTTTTATTTTTTATTTTATTTTTTATTTAACCTTTATTTAACCAGGTAAGCCAGTCGAGAACAAGTTCTCATTTACAACTGCGACCTGAACTAGTGTTAGGTGGATGAGCAAAATCTAGAATTCTTAGAAATGAGTTCCCCGTCCAACAAGAAAGATGGGTTCAGGGACAAGCGTCGTGTAGGAGTGACGCAATCTGACGTTAGACGATGCAATGAAGCATTGTGCTTCTGCTTTGCGTGCTGTTTGGGGTTTTGGCAGGGTAATTGTAAAGCACTTTGTGACAACCTGCTGATGTAAAAAGGTTGTTATAAAATAAAGTTGTTTCATTGATTGAAGCTGGGGAAACTAACTTAGCATTGTAATCGTAGGTAAGATCACGTCACTGGACACCAGTCTGCTGAGAGCCTCCATGAAGCCAGGCTGGGAGGACCTGGTCAGGAGGTGCATCCAGATGTTCCACCTGCAGAACGATGGGGAGATGTCATTTGCCAAAAAGCATCAGCAAGAAGGTACAATGTCTCACGGGATCTCTAGGCCTTTGACCTTCTGTTGATTAATGCCCAAATTTGAAAGCATGTGTCATATATCTCTCTCTCTCCATCCCTCTCTCTCTCCAGTCCTGAGACAGGGCCATGCGTTCAGCCCTCTGTATCGCTTCTCCCTGTCTGATGGTACCATTGTGTCTGCCCACACCAAGAGCAAGCTGGCGCGCTCCCCTGCCACCAACGAACCTCAGCTCTACATGTCCCTCCACATCCTCCAGAGGTACGTCTCCCCTGAACACCTCTCTCTAGTTCAGCATTATTCAACTGGGGGTCACAGGTACTGCACGGGCTGCGAAAATGTATATAAAAAATACAATGAAAAGGTTTTTATTTTTATTTCAATGTCTTTAGGAATATCGCTTGCAACAACAGAATAAACAAATGTTTTATTACATATCTACAGTAGAAAAGAGGAGAATATCTTCTTTCTAATGATGTCAGCTTTATTTCACAACTCCTAATGTTGATCAAATTACACTCATTGGAGCCAATTACACTCACTGGAGTATATGACATAGTCTTTGAAAAAGCACCCGCGAATAGGCTACCAGTGCGGCAAGTGCTGTTGGTAAGCTTGCTTGACTTGGACACACATTTTTGCTAACATTTGTTTAACCAGCTAAACAGCTGCTCTTAGCGAAAATGTGTTTAGAGTTATTTTTCTAGCTAATAGGCTATGTTAGAGTTTACAATTATAATGTAGGGAGGTCAAAATAATGAAACTATCTACCAAATCATTAAAAAAATGTTGATGACCCTTTCCTTGCAACTATCATTTACCTGATAAGACAAGACAGAAAAAGGCTAATGATTGGGGTCGCTGGGTTGCCTGGGAGGGGGTCCCTGTGCAAGAAAAGGTTGACCCCTGCTCTAGTTCAAACCCCAATGTTTGGGCCTCAGCAGCCATTGACATGGACCCTGGGCTGTTCTACTGATTCTAATTCTATGGGTGCAGCCACACAACGGAGGCTCAGTTCATCCCTTGCCACAGCTAATGGCAAATGGCACCCTATTCCCTGTATAGTGCACTACTTTTGACGAGAGCCCTATGGGGTGCACTATGAAGTAGTGCACTATAAAGGAAATAGGGTTTCGGAGGCAACCCCAGTGTTTCACCCGTTTATCTGGCGGCCCCGGGGCAGAGCTTGACAGGAACAGGAAACAATAACAAGACTGTTGTTGAGAATGAGTGGATCAACTGCAAACTTGGCGCTTTGTATAATTCTCAAACACATAATGTTGCTTCAGTGCCGTGCACAATGACGCCTTTGTGTTTTTAACTGTGCCTGAAGCTGCTAAAGCTTGCTCGGTGCATACTGCATTAGAGCTGTGGACTGGAGACCCGACTGGTGTTTGAGTTTGCTCTGCTGAGTACACTGACAGTGTCTCATAGGAGGGAACTTTAGTTAGTCGCCAACATTATCTTTTATCAGTGTCTGTCATGGAAGTAGTACTGTGTGAATGGGAAAACGTTGACTTGTTGTCATTACATTGGTGAATGCCATTTTTTATGCTTTTCTATAGTTTAGCCAGAATGACTGAAAACAGCTTCCTTTAGTATGGATGCGTTCCAAATGGCACCCTATTCCCGTTATAGTGCACTACTTCTGACTAGGGCCCATAGGGCTTTGATCAAAGGTAGTGCACTTCACTATATAGGTAATAGGGTGCCATTTGGGATTGAGCCTATATGATTATGTCCATCTCCATCCCTAAAGCTGTGTGTCTGTGTTTGGCCCTCTTCCAGGGAGCAGACGATGTGTGGGATGAACCCGGACATGTCTGCCCAGGGACAGGGGATGGGGAAGCAGCCAATGAACACTATGTCTTCACTGACCCCTCCCAGTGTGGGTGGGCTGTCCCCGGGGCTGGGGGTCCAGGGCCAGGACACTACGGTCAGCAGCAATACCAACATGGCCACCATGGGTGGCCTGCAGGGTGGACGTTATGGATGCCAGGGGGCTATGAACCGTTCCCCCACTCATCGGGGTAGCAGCAACTATGCACTCAAGATGGAGATGAACAGCCCGTCGCAGGACAGCCCCAGTGTGACCTCTCAGGGGGGTCAAGGTGGCGGTGGTACCATGCTGTCCCCACGCCACCGCCAGAGCCCCAGTGTGGCGGGTTGCCCCCGCGTTGCTCCCCCAGGACCCTTCTCCCCGACGGGCAGCTTGCACTCTCCACCAGGGGTGTGTAGCAGCACAGGGGTGGGGAACAACCACAGTGGCTACACTGGTAACAGCTCCCTCAATGCACTTCAGGCCCTTAGCGAATGCCACGGGGTCTCCCAGCAGGGGCAGTCCACAGGGTCACCTGACAGGAAGCCAGGCAACACGCTGCAGATGCAGAGTCCCCCTGGTAGTGGTGGAGCTAGCAGCAGTAGTAACCTCGACTCCAGCCAGCTGGCCAACCGCAGCAGCACCACATCTGAGAGAGAGATAGGGATGTTTGGAGCATACGGGGAGCAGTCCCAGCCAGACGGGGAGGAGAGGGAGAATGTGGAGCAGAGGAAGTTGAAAGATTACACCCCCGAGCATTTTGGAGGATCAGGAGGAGAGCTGAACGAGGCCCAGAACAGGCTCCTCAACAGCAAGGGCCACACCAAGCTCCTGCAGCTGCTCACCAACAAGTCAGAGCACATGGAGCCCTGCTCGCCCCACGGGGCCCCCGGGGGAGGGGAGCCCAACTGTAAGGATCCCGGGACGGGACCAGGGGGCCACAACAACCACTCCACCTCGCTGAAGGAGAAACACAAGATCCTCCATAGACTCCTCCAGAACAGTACGTCCCCGGTAGAGCTGGCCAAGCTGACGGCCGAGGCCACGGGGAAGGAGCTGGGTCAGGGCCAGCAAGACCAGGGAGGACCAGACAGTATGGCCGCCACCGTGGCTGAGATGGCCACCAAGCAGGAGCCCGTCAGCCCCAAGAAGAAGGATAACGCGCTGCTGCGCTACCTGCTGGACAAGGATGACAACACCATGCAGGAGAAAGGCATCAAGATGGAGCCCGGGACAGAGATGAAGGTGGCCAATGTGAAGACTGAGAAGCACGACCCGGGATACAACATGGCAGATCAGGTCAGTAGAGCAACAATGTGTATGGTCATGATACACTGGCTGCGTCCCAAATGACACCCTATTCCCCTTATGGGCCCTGGTCAAAGGTAGTAAGCTATATAGGGAACCACTGATCGAGAGTCTGAAGTAGGCCTAGCCATACAATGCAGCCTCCTGGGGGTTGTTGAAGATTCGTATGTGTTATTACATAATACAGTGAGGGGAAAAAAGTATTTGATTCCCTGCTGATTTTGTACGTTTGCCCACTGACAAAGAAATGATCAGTCTATAATTTTAATGGTAGGTTTATTTGAACAGTGAAAGACAGAATAACAACAAAAAAATCCAGAAAAACGCATGTCAAAAATGTTATAAATTGATTAGCATTTTAATGAGGGTACCTAGTGGGAGGCTAAGTAGGGAATCTGTTGCCCTGCCAGGCATTTAATACAGTGGGGGAAAAAAGTATTTAGTCAGCCACCAATTGTGCAAGTTCTCCCACTTTAAAAGATGAGAGAGGCCTGTAATTTTCATCATAGGTACACGTCAACTATGACAGACAAATTGAGAAAAAGAATTCCAGAAAATCACATTGTAGGATTTTTAATGAATTTATTAGCAAATTATGGTGGAAAATAAGTATTTGGTCACCTACAAACAAGCAAGATTTCTGGCTCTCACAGACCTGTAACTTCTTCTTTAAGAGGCTCCTCTGTCCTCCACTCGTTACCTGTATTAATGGCACCTGTTTGAACTTGTTATCAGTATAAAAGACACCTGTCCACAACCTCAAACAGTCACCCTCCAAACTCCACTATGGCCAAGACCAAAGAGCTATCAAAGGACACCAGAAACAAAATGGTAGACCTGCACCAGGCTGGGAAGACTGAATCTGCAATAGGTAAGCAGCTTGGTTTGAAGAAATCAACTGTGGGAGCAATTATTAGGAAATGGAAGACATACAAGACCACTGATAATCTCCCTCGATCTGGGGCTCCACGCAAGATCTCACCCCGTGGGGTCAAAATGATCACAAGAACGGTGAGCAAAAATCCCAGAACCACACGGGGGGACCTAGTGAATGACCTGCAGAGAGCTGGGACCAAAGTAACAAAGCCTACCATCAGTAACACACTACGCCGCCAGGGACTCAAATCCTGCAGTGCCAGACGTGTCCCCCTGCTTAAGCCAGTACTTGTCCAGGCCCATCTGAAGTTTGCTAGAGTGCATTTGGATGATCCAGAAGAGGATTGGGAGAATGTCATATGGTCAGATGAAACCAAAATATAACTTTTTGGTAAAAACTCAACTCGTCGTGTTTGGAGGACAAAGAATGCTGAGTTGCATCCAAACACCATACCTACTGTGAAGCATGGGGGTGGAAACATCATGCTTTGGGGCTGTTTTTCTGCAAAGGGACCAGGACGACTGATCCGTGTAAAGGAAAGAATGAATGGGGCCATGTATCGTGAGATTTTGAGTGAAAACCTCCTTCCATCAGCAAGGGCATTGAAGATGAAACGTGGTTGGGTCTTTCAGCATGACAATGATCCCAAACACACCGCCCGGGCAACGAAGGAGTGGCTTCGTAAGAAGCATTTCAAGGTCCTGGAGTGGCCTAGCCAGTCTCCAGATCTCAACCCCATAGAAAATCTTTGGAGGGAGTTGAAAGTCCGTGTTGCCCAGCGACAGCCCCAAAACATCACTGCTCTAGAGGAGATCTGCATGGAGGAATGAGCCAAAATACCAGCAACAGTGTGTGAAAACCTTGTGAAGACTTACAGAAAAACATTTGACATGTGTCATTGCCAACAAAGGGTATATAACAAAGTATTGAGAAACTTTTGTTATTGACCAAATACTTATTTTCCACCATAATTTGCAAATAAATTCATTAAAAGTCCTACAATGTGATTTTCTGGAGAAAAAAATTATCATTTTTTCTGTCATAGTTGACGTGTACCTATGATGAAAATTACAGGCCTCTCTCATCTTTTTAAGTGGGAGAACTTGCACAATTGGTGGCTGACTAAATACTTTTTTTCCCCACTGTATGTTGTGAGGATTTTTTAGATTTTTGTTGAGAGACCTCTTAGCCATTAGGTGCGCAAATTGCAGTGACAAGTTGATCTCCTTGTGAAATCCACGGACAAGTCCTGAGAACTAGCTGGCTAGTGAGTGAGGCAGTTGAAAGGGTCTGGCAGCACATTGAGGGGGCTTGATCTTATTGGCCCTATTGGCAGGCTGGCCCGGCGTCTCAGTCTTGAATCGGCTCTGGCAGAGAGGGTTCTGAAATACAAGACAGTGCCAGGGGTAGTGGAGGGAGGGGAGAAAATCCACTAGTGTTTAGTGCTGGCTGGCACATGTTTGCGGCCTGCTCCTCTGGCTCGTCCCTGTCTAAACAGCAGCCGGAAGGCCTGGGTGACTGCAGACAGCCCAGCAGCCAGTGTTTATACAGCCAGCTCTCTGTGCTTTCTGTGGGGTGTGTGTGTGTGTGTTGAACATGAGGAGGAGGTTGTAGTAAGTCTGTGTTCAGGGGATAAGAGATGGAGAGGTAGCTAGCAGGCACACTGTGGGAGGAGGTAAAAACTACAGCCTTTTAATTAGTTGTTAGGCTACACATTTGTTCTACAGGAACTACAGAGAGATTCAGCTCAGATAAGAATATTGGGCATAAGACAACATATTGTTTTATGCCATATGTTTTTTAGAAAATCTCCTGAAATACACTACATCAGGGCTGCCCAACCCTCTTCCTGGAGATCTACTGTCCTGTAGGTTCAGTCCAACCCTAATTTAGCATATCTGATTCAGCTAGTTATGGTCTTGTTGAGCAGCTAATAAGTAGAATCAGGTGTGTTAAATTAGGGTTGGACTGAAAACCCACAGGATGGTAGATCTCCAGGAAGAGGGTTGGGCAGCCCTGCACTACATTCACAGATAGCTTTTATCATAGCCACAACATGTTAGCCGGGTCTCTATAGCCTTTAGGGAGGCGTCACTGTCTGTTGTCAGCCAATATTCACCACCCACTGCACTCCGGGCAGGTAGAGAGGCAATCAGAGAGAGCATGCAGGCCGGGGCATTGGAGCGGTTAGCTCCTCCAGAAGGGCTGAATCCCAATTCTGAGGCTGAATCCCAATTCTCCACCCTTTTCCCAAAGTGTGCACTTGCACACTACCTGTCATGGATTTAACAATGGTGAAGACTCCAGCCAATGTTTACTTCAATCCAATACTTTTAGATCCATGACGGGAAGTGTGCAAGTGCACACTTTGGGAGATTGTTAGAGAATTGGGACACTGCCTAAGAGGGGGAGAGGAGGAGGAGGAGGAGGAGGAACAGGAATAAACCAACAGCAGGTCACCCTGGCATGCAGGCGGGCAGTGCACAGGAAGGAGGGCAGAGTAGAGCTGCGAGCCGTGCGGAGCGGAGGGCAGAGCAGCCTTACATCATACATGACCTCATTAGTTCAGCCTGCTATTTATATCCTCCCCTCTATTCATCGGCCTGCCTGTATGAAATGGTCTGGGCAGGAAGATTCCATTCCCATCTATAGGTCGGTCTGTCTCTGTCTCTGTCTCTCTCTCTCTGAAAAATGTAGCTCATTCTCAGTGATGATGGGTACAGTAGCTAGCTATGCACTGGTTTCGTTGATTTGAAAGGGATCCATATTTTAATGTGGAGTATTCAGACAGTGTTCCTGCGCTACAAAATATTTTCCATAATATCTATGTATTATTTATGTACATAGTAATCAGATGTTCTAAATGCTCATGGACACTGTCTCCCACATACAACTATCCTACTCATGTCTACTCTAATGTATATACAGTGCCTTCAGAAAGTATTCAGACCCCTTTACTTTTTCCACATTTTGTTACATTACAGCCTTATTCTAAAATTGATTAAATAAATAAAAATCCTCAATCTACACACAATACCCCATAATGACAACGTGAAAACAGTTTTTTAGACATTTTTGCAAATACCTTATTTACATAAGTATTCAAACCCTTTGCTATGAGACTCAAAATTGAGCTCAGGTGCATCCTGTTTCCATTGATCATCCTTGATGTTTCTACAACTTGATTGGAGTCCACCTGTGGTAAATTCAATTGATTGGACATGATTTGGAAAAGCACACACCTGTCTATATAAGGTCCCACAGTTGACAGTGCATGTCAGAGCAAAAAACAAGACATGAGGTCGAGGGAATTGTCCGTAGAGCTCCGAGACAGGATTGTGTCGAGGCACAGATCTGGGGAAGGGTACCAACACATTTCTGCTGCATTGAAGGTCCCCAAGTATACAGTGGCCTCCATCATTCTTAAATGGAAGAACTTTGGCACCACCAAGACTCTTCCTACAGCTGGCCACCCGGCCAAACTGAGCACTCGGGGGAGAATGGCCTTGATCAGGGACGTGACCAAGAACCCGATGGTCACTCTGACAGAGCTCCAGAGTTTCTCTGTGGAGATGGGAGAACCTTCCAGAAGGACAACCATCTCTGCAGCACTCAACCAATCAGGCCTTTATGGTAGTGGCCAGACGGAAGCCTCTCCTCAGTAAAAGGCACATGACAGCCCGTTTGGAGAAGCATGGGGGTGGCAGCATCATGCTGTGGGGATGTTTTTCAGCGGCAGGGACTGGGAGACTAGTCGGGATCGAGGCAAAGATGAACGGAGCAAAGTACAGAGAGATCCTTGATGAAAACGTGCTCCAGAGCGCTCAGGAACTCAGACTGGGGCGAAGGTTCACCTTCAAACAGGACAACGACAGAGCTTGAGAGGATCTGCAGAGAAGAATGGGAGAAACTACCCAAATACAGGTGTGCCATGGCATGGCTGTAATCACTGCCAAAGGTGCTTCAACAAAGTACTGAGGAAAGGGTCTGAATACTTATGTCAATGAGATATATATATATATAATTTTGTTTTTTATATATAAATTGGCAAACATTTATAACCTGTTTTTGCTTTGTCATTGTGTGTAGATTGAGGGGGAAAAACAATTTGATCAATTTTAGAATAAGGCTGTAACATAACAAAATGTGGAAAAAGTCAAGGGGTCTGAATACTTTCCGAAGGCACTGTAAGACTTGTCTGTGTCTTTCTGTGTGTGTGCTTGGATGTTCATGCAGTCTAGTGAGCTGGAAGACATCTTGGATGATCTGCAGTGTAGCCAGCAGCAGCAGCTCTTCTCAGGCCAGCACCACCAGCAGCAGTCCAGACCTGTGTCTCTGCCTGCCAACGTAGACAAGCAGTCCATCATCAACGACATCCTGCAGATGACAGAGAACAACAGCAGTCCCACGGGCACCAACACCCAGCAGAAGGCCTTCCCAGGCATGGGCCCAGGACGTGAGTTAACCAGACCTCTGCTCTTATCTGTTCCAGGTTACATCCCAAATGGCACCCTATTCTCTATGGGCCCTGGTCAAAAGTAGTGCACTGTATAGAAAATAGGGTGCCATTTGGGAAGCAACCTAAGTAGCTTGAGATAGGAGTAACCCTTAACCACAGATCTGAGATCAGTTTACCCTCCCCAAATCTTAATAACCTTTATCATAAAGAATATCTGACCCGGTGTCAGCGGTTAGTTAGGGGCAACTTCTACGTACTTTGTCCCACTTTTGATATGGAAAAAATTGTTTGGTCAAGCCAGTATATTTTAGTGAGATGATTGTGTAACTTTTTCGGTCTTGTACTCCCAGACTTCAATGGTCCCAGGATGGGCCAGCCAGGCCGAGGGCCCCCTGTCCGCAGTATGTCCCTAGTTCAGTCCAACATGTCTGGCCATGGTTCTCCCCGACCCTTCCCTCCTCCCAGGAACAGCAGCCCCTACTCTGTCATGCAACAGCAAGCCATGATGGGAAACCACGGGATGCTGCAGAACCAGGCTAACATGGGCAACGCAGGTGAGTCGTCATGTTTAAAAATGTATTAAGCATTACCATCTAAAATGTTTAGTGCTAATTTAAGAGATGTACTATACCACTTTGTGTTATTATTAGATATAGGATCAGTCCCAAATGGCACCCTATTCCCTATATAGTGTACTAATTTTGACCAGGGTCCAGTTTCAGTGTTTAGAAGTCATCCTGGCTCAGCTTACAGTCTGTCCTCTCCTGTCCCCCTGTCCCAGGCATGCCCTGGGCTAGCATGCAGCAGGGTTGGGGCCCTCAGGGGCCAATGGGCCAGGCTCTGCAGCAGAGAATGGGGCCTGATGGTCACATGGTGCCCAATGTCTCAGCTGGAGTCCCCATGAGGCCCAGCAACCAGCAGCCTGGACCCAGACAGATGGTCCCAATGCAGATGATGGGAAACGGTGAGTGCTGCTGCCCCCCTTTCTCCACACACACACACACACACACACACACACACACACACACACACACCTTGCCCCTGTTTCTCCACACACACACCTTGCTGCCATTTCTCCAAACACACAAACATCTCCATTGTCTCTGTATCCATCTAGAGTCCCATGAGGCCCATAATTGAAGTTATTCTGAGTCTTTTCATAATGTCTGTTGAACAGTGCAATCAGATATGGAGATGGCTGGTCCTCCCTACCCAGGACAGCAGGCACCGCCCAATCAGACGGCCCCATGGCCTGACCGCATGATGTCAGTGGATCACGGGCCTTATGGGAACCAGAACCGGTAAATAGCTACACACAGTACAGACCCCTTCTCTCAGTGACAGTACAACACACCTCACACCTCTTTGCTGTCTGACACACTTTTGAAAAGTAGTGCACTGTATAGGGAATAGGGTACCATTTCGGACACAACTAACTCCGTCTGAACCTACTCCTCTGGGCCCGGTTTCCCAGAGGCATCTTAAGTTTAAGTTCATCGTTAGAACCTTAGTAGAAGCATCGTTAAATCTCCGAGCTGTTTCCCAAAACCATCGTTATTAAAGTTGCACTTAAATGCTTGTAATTTAATGCCCGCCTCAGACCACTCGTAGAAGTGCGTCGTTAGATGCTTTTTTGGCCCTCCCACATCACTTTATACACAGATCCCCACTAAACATAGAATCAAATGGTTTATCCATCTCTCTGTAACCGCCGATAACTTTAGAACAAAGTTGACTACAAATACAAAGTTGCCAATGTCTTTGCAATTGATACAAACAAGCGACATATTTAAAAATATGCTTAAAATGAAAACCGAGATGATTGCATTAAAATATAAACAGTAAGCTATAGGCCTTTTTCAATCATATTGAAATACAGTTGAAGTCGGAAGTTTACATACACCTTAGCCAAATACATTTAAACTCAGTTTTTGCAATTCCGGACATTTAATCCTAGTAAAAATGCCCTGTCTTAGGTCAGTTAGGATCACCACTTTTATTTTAAGAATGTGAAATGTCAGAATAATAGTAGAGAGAATGATTTATTTCAGCTTTTTATTTATTTCATCACATTCCCAGTGGGTCAGAAGTTTACATACACTCAATTAGTATTTGGTAGTATTGCCTTTAAATTGTTTAACTTGGGTCAAATGTTTCGGGTAGCCTTCCACAAGCTTCCCACAATAAGTTGGGTGAATTTTGGCCCATTCCTCCTGACAGAGCTGGTGTAACTGAGTCAGGTTTGTAGGCCTCCTTGCTCGCACCCGCTTTTTCAGTTCTGCCCACAAATGTTCTGTATGATTGAGGTCAGGGCTTTGTGATGGCCACTCCAATACCTTGACTTTGTTGTCCTTAAGCCATTTTGCCACAACTTTGGAAGTATGCTTGGGGTCATTGTACATTTGGAAGACCCATTTGCGACCAAGCTTTAACTTCCTGTCTGATGTCTTGAGATATTGCTTCAATATATCCACATAATTTTCCTTCCTCATGATGCCATCTATTTTGTGAAGTGCACCAGTCCCTCCTGCAGCAAAGTACCCCCACAGCATGATGCTGCCACCCCCGTGCTTCACGGTTGGGATGGTGTTCTTCGGTCGGGCTTGCAAGCGACCCCCTTTTTCCTCCAAACATAATGATGGTCATTATGGCCAAACAGTTCTACTTTTGTTTCATCAGACCAGAGGACATTTCTCCAAAAACTACGATCTTTGTCCCCATGTGCAGTTGCAAGCCGTAGTCTGGCTTTTTTATGGCGGTTTTGGAGCAGTGGCTTCTTACTTGCTGAGCGGCCTTTTAGGTTATGTCAATATAGGACTCGTTTTACTGTGGATATAGATACTTTTGTACCTGTTTCCTCCAGTATCTTCACAAGGTCCTTTGCTGTTGTTCTGGGATTGATTTGCACTTTTGGCACCAAAGTATGTTCATCTCTAGGAGACAGAACGTGTTTCCTTCCTGAGCGGTATAATGGCTGCATGGTCCCATGGTGTTTATACTTGCGTACTATTGTTTGAACAGATGAACGTGGTAACCTTCAGGCGTTTGGAAATTGCTCCCAAGGATGAACCAGACTTGTGGAGGTCTACAATTTTTTTCTGAGGTATTGGCTGATTTCTTTTGATTTTCCCATGATGTCAAGCAAAGAGGCACTGAGTTTGAAGGTAGGCCTTGAAATACATCCACAGGTACACCTCCAATTGACTCAAATGATGTCAATTAGCCTATCAGAAGCTTCTAAAGCCATGACATCATTTTCTGGAATTTTCCAAGCTGTTTAAAGGCACAGTCAACTTAGTGTATGTAAACTTCTGACCCACTGGAATTGTGATACAGTGAATTATAAGTGAAATAATCTGTCTGTAAACAATTGTTGGAAAAATTACTTGTGTCATGCACAAAGTAGATGTCCTAACTGACTTGCCAAAACTATAGTTTGTTAACAAGAAATTTGTGGAGTGGTTGAGTGAAGTTTTAATGACTCCAACCTAAGTGTATGTAAACTTACGACTTCAATTGTGTGTATATATATATATACACACAAGTGTGTCAGTGTGTGTGTCTGCGTGTAGCCTATTTGGGAAGGACCTAAGTCACACTAAGGTGAATGCGGTTGGTGGGTTCAGGGAGTTGTGTTCTTCAGTAGGTGAGTCTTTGTCCATTCAAAGACCCATGTAGAACTACAGGAGCTCCTTGATTGGTTGGATGCCAGTGCTTTCATTGGGTGTAGACCATTTGTAAACCATGTTGTCCAACAATAGACTGGGGTCAGCAAAAGTTCTGAAAAATAAGTGTATGTAAACTTCCGACTTCAACTGTACATTTTATGTTCAATGAATTGAGTTATATTTTGCTACTTGTAGGCTACTGTCTGTAATTTGTCTCAACATGTTTCATGATGTGTAGCCTAACATGTGCGCAATGATGTGCCAAATCTGTGATTTTGTGCATTTTTATTGGGTAAGCATTAGAATAAGCTGCCTCAATATTTGCCACCATAGGTGATATCTCTCTAGGAGCTGATCCACCGTCTGCTGATTTTGAACGTTTGCCCACTGACAAAGAAATGATCAGTCTATAATTTTAATGGTAGGTTTATTTGAACAGTGAGAGACAGAATAACAACAAAATAATCCAGAAAAACGCATGTCAACAATGTTATAAATTGATTTGCATTTTAATGAGGGAAATAAGTATTTGACCCCCTCTCAATCAAAAAGATTTCTGGCTCCCAGGTATCTTTTAAACAGGTAACGAGCTGAGATTAGGAGCACACTCTTAAAGGGAGTGCTCCTAATCTCAGCTTGTTACCTGTATAAAAGACACCTGTCCACAGAAGCAATCATCAATCAGATTCCAAACTCTCCACCATGGCCAAGACCAAAGAGCTCTCCAAGGATGTCCGGGACAAGATTGTAGACCTACACAAGGCTGGAATGGGCTGCAAGACCATCGGCAAGCAGCTTGGTGAGAAGGTGACAACAGTTGGCACGATTATTCACAAATGGAAGAAACAAAAGTACTGTCAATCTCCCTCGGCCTGGGGCTCCATGCAATATCTCACCTCGTGGAGTTGCAATGATCATGGGAACGGTGAGGAATCAGCCCAGAACTACACGGGAGGATCTTGTCAATGATCTTAAGGCAGCTGGGACCATAGTCACCAAGAAAACAATTGGTAACACACTACGCCGTGAAGGACTGAAATCCTGCATCGCCCGCAAGGTCCCCCTGCTCAAGAAAGCACATATACAGGCCCGTCTGAAGTTTGCCAATGAACATCTGAATGATTCAGAGGAGAACTGGGTGAAAGTGTTGTGGTCAGATGAGACCAAAATGGAGCTCTTTGGCATCAACTCAACTCGCCGTGTTTGGAGGAGGAGGAATGCTGCCTATGACCCCAAGAACACCATCCCCACCGTCAAACATGGAGGTGGAAACATTATGCTTTGGGGGTGTTTTTCTGCTAAGGGGACAGGACAACTTCACTGCATCAAAGGGACGATGGACGGGTCATGTACCGTCAAATCTTTGGTGAGAACCTCCTTCCCTCAGCCAGGGCATTGAAAATTGGTCGTGGATAGGTATTCCAGCATGACAATGACCCAAAACACACGGCCAAGGCAACAAAGGAGTGGCTCAAGAAGAAGCACATTAAGGTCCTGGAGTGGCCTAGCCAGTCTCCAGACCTTAATCCCATAGAAAATCTGTGTAGGGAGCTGAAGGTTCGAGTTGCCCAACGTCAGCCTCAAAACCTTAATGACTTGGAGAAGATCTGCAAAGAGGAGTGGGACAAAATCCCTCCTGGGATGTGTGCAAACCTGGTGGCCAACTACAAGAAACGTCTGACCTCTGTGATTGCCAACAAGGGTTTTGTCACCAAGTACTAAGTCATGTTTTGCAGAGGGGTCAAATACGTATTTCCCTCATTAAAATGCAAATCAATTTATAACATTTTTGACGTGCGTTTTTCTGGATTTTTGTTGTTGTTATTCTCTCTCTCACTGTTCAAATAAACCTACCATTTAAAATTATAGACTGATCATGTCTTTGTCAGTGGGCAAACGTACAAAATCAGCAGGGGATCAAATACTTTTTTCCCTCATTGTACATGTGGGTAGAGTTAAAGTGACTATGCATAAATAATTAACAGAGTAGCAGCAGCGTAAAAAGATGGGGTGGGGGTGCAAATAGTCCGGGTAGCCATGATTAGCTGTTCAGGAGTCTTATGGCTTGGGGGTAGAAGCTGTTGAGAAGCCTTTTGGACCTAGACTTTGCGCTCCGGTACCGCTTGCCGTGCGGTAGTAGAGAGAACAGTCTATGACTAGGGTGGCTGGAGTCTTTGACAATTTTGAGGGCCTTCCTCTGACACCACCTGGTATAGAGGTCCTGGATGGCAGGAAGCTTGGCCCCAGTGATGTACTGGGCCGTACACACTACCCTCTGTAGTGCCTTGCGGTCGGAGGCCGAGCAGTTGCCATACCAGGCAGTGATGCAACCAGTCAGGATGCTCTCGATGGTGCAGCTGTAGAACTTTTTGAGGATCTGAGGACCCATGCCAAATCTTTTCAGTCTCCTGAGGGGGAATAGGCTTTGTCGTGCCCTCTTCACGACTGTCTTGGTGTGTTTGGACCATGATAGTTTGTTGGTGATGTGGACACCAAAGAACTTGAAGCTCTCAACCTGTTCCACTACAGCCCCGTCGATGAGAATGGGGGCGTGCTCAGTCCTCTTTTTTTTTTTCTTTAGTCCACAATCATCTCCTTTGTCTTGGTCACGTTGAGGGAGAGGTTGTTATCCTGGCACCACACGGCCAGGTCTCTGACCACCTCCCTATAGGCTGTTTCATCATTGTCGGTGATCAGGCCTACCACTATTGTGTCGTCTGCAAACTTAATGATGGTGTTGGAGTCGTGCCTGGCCATGCAGTCATGGGGGAACAGGGAGTACAGGAGGGGACTGTGCATGCACCCCTGAGGGGCCCCCGTGTTGAGGATCAGCGTGGCAGATGTGTTGTTACCTAGCCTTACCACCTGGGGGCGGCCCGTCAGGAAGTCCAGGATCCCATTGCAGAGGGAGGTGTTTAGTCCCAGGATCCTTAGCTTAGTGATGAGCTTTGAGAGCACTATAGTGTTGAACGCTGAGCTGTAGTCAATGAATAGCAAAGTCAAGGTATTGGAGTGGCCATCACAAAGCCCTGACCTCAATCCTATAGAAAATGTGTGGGCAGAACTGAAAAAGCATGTACGAGCAAGAAGGCCTACAAACCTGACTCAGTTACACCAGCTCTGTCAGGAGGAATGGGCCAAAATTCACCCAACTTATTGTGGGAAGCTTGTGGAAGTCTACCCGAAACATTTGACCCAAGTTAAACAATTTAAAGGCAATGCTACCAAATACTAATTGAGTGTGTGTAAACTTCTGACCCACTGGGAATGTGATGAAATAAATAAAAGCTGTATTAAATCATTCTCTCTACTATTATTCTGACATTTCACATTCTTAAAATAAAGTGCTGATCCTTACTGACCTAAGACAGGGACTTTTTACTAGGATTCAATGTCAGGAATTGTAAAAAAACTGAGTTTAAATGTATTTGGCTAAGGTGTATGTAAACTTCCGACTTCAACTGTAATTCTAATGTTAAGGAAAGATTTTCATGTAGTAAGCTGATTCGAGAGCAGCACTCCCTTTCCTTCGATCCTATCAGTATCAACACATGCTCCAACAACGCACTTAGTGACCGTTATCTCTGCGAGCCTCCCGAGTGGCGCAGTGGTCTAAGGCACTGCATTGCAGTGCTAGCTGTGCCACTAGAGATCCTGGTTCGAATCCAGGCTCTGTCGTAGCCGGCCGTGACCGGGAGACCCATGGGGCGGCGCACAATTGGCCCAGCGTCGTCCAGGGTAGGGGAGGGAATGGCTGGCAGGGATGTAGCTCAGTTGGTAGAGCATGGCGTTTGCAACGCCAGGGTTGTGGGTTCGATTCCCACCGGGGGTATGAAAAATATAAAAAATAAAAAATAATGTATGCACTCACTAACTAAGTCGCTCTGGATAAAAGCGTCTGCTAAACTGTAAATGTAAAATGAGGTGTTTTGGGAAACGCATACACATACATACGTTACATCTTCGGCCGTGGTAGGCAAGATGCATAGTTAAAACACTGCTAAGCCTAAGTTCCATCGCTATCGGGAAACCGGGCCCTGGTTGTTCACTCACCAGATAATGAGAAAACCCAGACAAGTCGGAACATGTTACTGTATGCTTGTGTACTGACTGCACAGTCAGTCAGTGGCTGTTGAGTGAGTGAAAATGACAGTCGTATGGTATGCACATGATGGTGTGTGTATGATGAAAAGCAGATTACTCTCACCGTGGTGATCTCCTCGGCCACACGGCCCTTACCCGTCTGACCTTTGACCTCTAACCTCAGACCTTGTGTCGTGTTCTTGCACTTAACACCCACACTTTTGTTTTTTCTTCATCCTGGCACCGATTCTGCTGATGGCGGTTACCTTGAGAGGGTCTACTTGCAATAACTGTGATATGTGATTGTATTTTCCTACTGAACTTTAATCTGGATCAGAGCGTCTGCTAAATGATAGGATAAAGCAATCCTTCTACCCCCCCCACACACACAGCGGAGTCGCTCACCACCTTCCGGAGACATTTGAAACCCCACCTCTTTAAGGAATACCTGGGATAGGATAAAGTAATCCTTCTACCCCCCCCCCACCCCCCACCCCCCCACCCCACAGCGGAGTCACTCACCACCTTCCGGAGACATTTGAAACCCCACCTCTTTAGGAATACCTGGGATAGGATAAAGTAATCCTTCTACCCCCCCCCACCCCCCCCACACACAGCGGAGTCGCTCACCACCTTCCGGAGACATTTGAAACCCCACCTCTTTAAGGAATACCTGGGATAGGATAAAGTAATCCTTCTACCCCCCCACCCCACAGCGGAGTCACTCACCACCTTCCGGAGACATTTGAAACCCCACCTCTTTAAGGAATACCTGGGATAGGATAAAGTAATCCTTCTACCCCCCCCCCCCCCCCACACACACACACAGCGGAGTCGCTCACCACCTTCCGGAGACATTTGAAACCCCACCTCTTTAAGGAATACCTGGGATAGGATAAAGTAATCCTTCTACCCCCCCCCCCCCCCCCCAAACAAAAACAAAAACAAAAAAAAATTGTAAAGTGGTTATCCCACTGGCTATAGGGTGAATGCATCAATTTGTGAGACGCTCTGGTCTAGAGCGTCTGCTAAATGACGTAAATGTGCCCTTGAGCAAGGCACTTAACCCTAATTGCTCCTGTAAGTCGCTCTGGATAAGAGCGTCTGCTAAATGACTAAAATGTAATGTAAATGTTAATGTAATGAAACGTTGTGTTCCCCACAGACAGGCTTATGGTAACCCCCAGGAGGAGGCACTGTGTCCCCCCTCGCGGCCCGGGGAGGGGCCTTCGGACGGGGACGCCCTGCTCAGCCAGCTCTACTCAGTGCTGAAAGACTTTGACGGCCTGGAGGAGATTGACCGCGCCCTGGGAATCCCCACTCTGATTAGTCAGGTAATCTCTATTAGCTGCTCTAATCTGCGCAGGCCACAGAGATGTACTAGAGCAGGGTTTCCCAAACTCGGTCCTGAAGGCTGCCCTGGGGGCACGTTTTGGTTTTTACCCTAGCACTACACAGCTGATTCAAATAACCAACTCATCAAGTTTTGATTATTTGAATCAGCTGTGTAGTGCTAGGGCAAAAACCAAAATGTACACCCGCGGGGGGCCTCAGGACCGAGTTTGGGAAACCCTGTACTAGAAAGCTAATCTCCTATATTTGAAATGGCAACTTCAAAATGGTGTAAGCCCTCAAGTGTGCCCTCTATCCGACTCTATGGCCCAGGCCAACAAGCCTATAGCAGGCAGCTGGACTCAGCTCATTTTCCCTTTAGAGGCCTTACTGTAGTTCAGTACTGTATTGTAATTCATTGACTGCTGTACAGTAGTTACCTGTTCCCTAAGGTCTATAGGGAATGTGTATGTTGCTGTGGGTTCTGTCATTTGATTGGGTTGAGATATTAACGAAGTTGGTGTAGAAACTACAAAATCTCAAATGAAATTAACTGACTAGTTTTGTTAGCAAGCCATTACTTATTAACAGAAAGAAGACAGCCAAAACAAACAACACTGACCTACATTAGCTTTTTTAATGTCCTGCTATGTGACTACATTTCTTACCCGGTTTAATCTTTGTAGGGCCAGCCAGTGGAGCAGGAGCAGTATGCCAATCAGGAGTCGCCCATGAGGAAGCCACCCATGTACAGCCAGCAGTACCCTCAGGCTGGTAACATGGCACAGGGCAACTACATGAGCCAGCAGGACCCTGGCTTCCACGGTATGCCCGGTCAGATGGGCCAGCGGATGGGGTACCCCATGCTCCGACTCCCTGCCCGACCAGTAGGCCCAGTGCCCGCCCAGCCCAACAACCTGAGGCTGCAGCTGCAGCACCGACTACAGGCACAGCTGGTAGGGAGACACACCACCCCTAGAGCCCTCACTGTAAATCATAGGGCATACAGAAATGTCCTGACCTGAAAAGGACAATTGATAAGCTCAAGCTTGAAATAATATTTGGAATGAATTAAGTTTGGAATTAACAGTTTGCAATATTGACATCGATAATTGAACAACCTTGCCCCTCTCCCTCGTCAAAATCATAATGGACATTTAAGAACATTGCAAACTGAACATCTGAAAATAAGAGTTTTATAGTCTACTCAGTTTCTGCAGTAAACTCAGGCTTCTACTGCCACCTGCTGGAGAGTTTGAGAAATGGATAAACAATTTTATAGCAATGACTCAAATCAAATGTTATTTGTCACATGCTTCGTAAACAACAGGTGTAGATTAACAGTGAAATGCTTACTTAGGGGCCCTTCCCAACAATGCAGAGAAATAATAATAGAAAGATAATAACATGAGGAATAAATACACACTGAGTAACGATAACTTGGCTATATACAGGGGGTACCGAGTCCATGTGCAGGGATATGAGGTAATTGAGGTAGATACTGTATGGAAATATGGGTAGGGGTAAAGTGACTAGGCAACGGCATGGATAATGAGCAGTAGCAGCAGTGTGATGAGTCAAAAGAGTTTGTGCAAAGGGGGGATCAATGCAGATAGTCCGGGTAGCTATTTGGTCAACTATTTAGCAGTCTTTTGGCTTGAGGGTAAAACTGTTCAGGGTTCTGTTGGTTCCAGACTTGGTGCATCGGTACCGCTTGCTTTGCAGTAGCAGAGAGAACAGTCTGACTTTGGTGGCTGGAGTCTGACAATTTTTTAGGGCCTTCCTCTGACAGTGCCTGGTATAGAGGTCCTGGATGGCAGGGAGCTTGGACCCAGTGATTTACTGGGCCGTACACACTTCCCTTCTGTAGCGCTTTGCGGTTGGATGCCAAGCAGTTGCCGTACCAAGCGGTGAAGCAGCCAGTCAAGATGCTTTCAACTTTGAGGCTCTGAGCGCCCATGCCAAATCTTCAGCCTCCTGAGGAGGAAGAGGCTGTGTTGGTGTAGTGGCCATTTATGTTAATTACTTAGTAATGTGGACACCGAGGAACTTCAAGATCTCGACCCGCACCACTACAGCCCCGTCGATGTGGATGGGGGCGTGCTCGGCCCTCCGTTTCCTGTAGTCCACGATCAGCTCCTTTGTCTTGCTGACGTTGAAGGAAAGGTTGTTGTCATGGCACCACACTGCCAGGTCACTGACCTCCTCCCTATAGGCTGTCTCATCGTCGTTGGTGATCAGGCCTACCACCGTTGTGTCGTCGGCACACTTAATGATGGTGTTGGAGTCATGCGTGGCCACGCAGTCGTAGGTGAACAGGGAGTACAGGAGGGGACTAAGCATGCACCCCTGAGGGGCCCCGTGTTGAGGGTCAGCGTGGCGGATGTGTTGTTGTCTACCCTCATCACCTGGGGGCGGCCCGTCAGGAAGTCCAGGATCCAGTTGCAGCGGGAGGTGTTCATTCCCAGGGACCTGTTTTAGTGATGAGCTTGGAGGGCACTATGGTGTTGAATGCTGAGCTGTAGTCAATGAACAACATTCTCTTATAGGGTTTCCTCTTATCCAATTGGGAGAGGGGTAGTGTGGAGTGCAATAGAGATTGTGTCATCTGTGGATCTGTTGGGGTGGTATGCGAATTGGAGTAGGTCCAGGGTGTCTGGAATTATGGTGTTGAGGTGAGCCATGACCATCAAAGCATTTCATGGCTACAAATGTGAGTGCTACGGGGCGATAGTTATTTAGACAGGTTACCTTGGCGTTCTTGGGTACAGGGACTGTGGTGGTCTGCTTGAAACATGTAGGTATTACAGACGGGGTCAGGGAGAGGTTGAACATGTCAGTGAAGACACTGATCAGTGCATGCTCTGATTATGCCTCCTGGCAATCCATCTGGCCCTGAGGCCTTGTGAATGTTAAAGGAAAGGTTCACACATTTTGAATGTTATATAGTTTTAGTGCATCTCTAAGTGATGTTCTATCGATTCCCTGGGTCATTTCATGTTTTCATGTGTATCTGAGTTATTGGCGTTCAAGCAGGCAGAAATCTGTCCAGTATGACATAGCACCGTGATAAAGTCGCTCTCACTATACTGGAAGTTAATAGGAATACGACTTTTAGATCGCGAAAACGTCTATCATAGATTTCAATACTGACTGATGTCATAACTCAGGAGGTTGTCTTCTCTCGAATGAGCCATTGATAATATTTTTGCGATATTCCTCCCTCGAGAAACATTTATTTCACGGAGGGTCTATCACATTTTTCCTATTTGTCTGCCTCTTTAGTCCAGGATGCATTGCATGGTGCCGTTGCCAGAGATATTATAGAAAGGAGATAGGAATCCAATGAATGAAGGAACGTATAACGTCCCACCTAGCAGACTGTCGACCAATAGCGTTCACTTTGTCATGCTGTGTCACGCTGTTTCTAACTTAATCGTCACGCAACCCCTTCTCAAAGACCGTGTATATGTTGAGAAACGTGCATATTTTCCTCGAAAGTACGTAATGTCACGATTCCAAAGCTATACGATACTACAGATAGCAAGTTCATTATCTCACATCTCAGAAAATATTTATCTATTTGTTGACCTAATTCGTGCTAATGTTGGGTTTTTGAGCTAGCGCCCAATAGACTCCCATTCACTCCTTGAAGGAGAGCGCTCCTTGTCCCAGTATCGCCTAGAATGCACCGCGCGGCCCATTGACTTGGCATGGGCAAGGTTTCCCATTCCATCAAAAGTATATCTGCCGTTGCGAATGTTAGACTCCACTCTGAGGCACATCGATCTGCAGGTTGAACATGGTGAGATTGTAGACTCCTAAATTGATAGTGCAGTTTGTTTAGGCGATTTTACAGATAACTAGCTATGTTACATGCTGATATAGAGCCTCCTGTAGCTCAGTTGGTAGTGCATGGCCCTTGCAACGCCAGGGTTGTGGGTTCGAATCCCACGGGGGGCCAGTATGAAAAATGTATGCACTCACTAACTGTAAGTCGCTCTGGATAAGAGCATCTGCTAAATGACTAAAATGTAAATGTAATATTGTCTTTGGTATTATTCTGTGTAGCTATGTTTGCTAGCTACCTACCTAGCTAGCCAGCTAGCCCATAGAGAGCATTGCATTGTGGATTTTGTAGTCGACTTGAGCTGCAACACATTTCCACAATGATTTTCCATGTTCCTACCAACCTTATTATAACGCCAAAATGAAACATTTGTTTGCAAAAAATATTGTTCTCACATATTAGTGTTATTTAACACTGTAAATTAAAGGAATTAGTGGTTTAGGGTGGATTTTTCCTTTAACCTGTTTAAAGGTCTTACTCACATCAGCTACAGAGAGCGAGATCACACAGTCGTGCGGAACAGCTGTTGCTCTCATGCATGGTTCAGTGTTGCTTGCCTCAAAGCGAGCATAGAAGGCATTTATCTCGCCTGGTAGGCTTGCGTCACTGGGCAGCTTGTGGCTGGGTTTCCCTTTGTAATTCGTGATAGTTTGCAAGCCCTGCCACATCCGACGCGCATCAGAGCTGGCGTAGTAGGATTCAATCTTAGCCCTGTATTGACACTTTGCCTGTTTGATGGCTCGTCACAGGTCGTAGCGGGATTTCATTACATTATCAATGATGTGCAGTATCATAAATGTCTTTGGACTTCACCAAGTAATGGGCCTAATAGAACGTCAAGGGCTATGTAATTATTACATTTAAGTCGGTAGAATTCGACAAAAAAATTGTCATTTTCTTATTTCCTCAGCAGAATCGTCAGCCAATGATGAATCAGATGGGCGTGTCAAACATGAACCTACCTCTCAGACCCAGTGTACCCAACCAGGTTAGTCAGAATACTGTAGCAGATCATTATTATAACACAACAGCTCCATGCGTGTGTGAGTCTAAGCTTGCATCCTAAATGGCACCCTATTCCCTATATAGTGTACTACTTTTGACAGCACCCTATTCACTATTTAGTGTACTAATTTTGACCAGGGCCTATAGGGATCTGTTAAAAAGTAATGCACTTTATAGGGAATAGGGTGCCATTTGGGCCTCATACTAAATGCCTTAAAGTCTAAATGTGTATTGTCCGTCTATCCTTTTAGGGAACCCTGAATGCTCAGATGTTGGCCCAGAGACAGAGGGAGTACCTGAGTAACATCCTGCGTCAGCGCCAGCAGCACGTCCACCAGAGAGCCATGCTGTTGCGGGCCCAGGGCCTCAACATCCCCCCCAACATGGCTGCAGCGGCTGGGGCAGTGGGGCCCTCGCAGTCCCCCAGCATGCCCCCCGGCTCAATCAGCACCAACCCTCGGATCCCCCAGGCAAACCCCCAGCAGTTCCCGTACCCGGCCAGCTACGGTACTGGGCTCACGTCCCCGCCACCCTCCACCAGCCCCTTCTCCCCGCTGTCCCCTGGTCTCCCTGGGGCTCAGCAGCTCCTCTCCCCTTTCCACTCCTCCCCAATCTTGCATGGCTCCTCCCAGATGAGTCTAGCTAACCAGCAAGGGATGATGGGAAACGTAGGTGGCCAGTTTGGAGCCGTAGTGAGTCCACAAATGCAGCAGCACAGTGCCTTCCAGTTTCCCAGCTCAGGTATACTGTAATATAATACTACCCGGTCACCTCGCTGTGTGGCTTCCTATCACAGCTTTGGTTTAATTTCAACTGATAATCATTTTAATCATATGTGGGTTTAATTCGGTGGCTGCATGACTGTAGTGGTATTTGTTTCTCATACATACAGTGGGGAAAAAGTATTTAGTCAGCCACCAATTGTGCAAGTTCTCCCACTTAAAAAGATGAGAGAGACCTGTAATTTTCATCATAGGTACACGTCAACTATGACAGACAAAATGAGGGAAAAAAATCCAGAAAATCACATTGTAGGATTTTTTTATGAATTTATTTGCAAATTATGGTGGAAAATAAGTATTTGGTCAATAACAAAAGTTTCTCAATACTTTGTTATATACCCTTTGTTGACAATGACACAGGTCAAACGTTTTCTGTAAGTCTTCACAAGGTTTTCACACACTTGCTGGTATTTTGGCCCATTCCTCCATGCAGATCTCCTCTAGAGCAGTGATGTTTTGTGGCTGTCGCTGGGCAACACAGACTTTCAACTCCCTCCAAATATTTTCTATGGGGTTGAGATCTGGAGACTGGCTAGGCCACTCCAGGACCTTGAAATGCTTCTTACGAAGCCACTCCTTTGTTGCCCGGGCGGTGTGTTTGGGATCATTGTCATGCTGAAAGACCCAACCACGTTTCATCTTCAATGCCCTTGCTGATGGAAGGAGGTTTTCACTCAAAATCTCACGATACATGGCCCCATTCATTCTTTCCTTTACACGGATCAGTCATCCTGGTCCCTTTGCAGAAAAACAGCCCCAAAGCATGATGTTTCCACCCCCATGCTTCACAGTAGGTATGGTGTTCTTTGGATGCAACTCAGCATTCTTTGTCCTCCAAACACGACGAGTTGAGTTTTTACCAAAAAGTTCTATTTTGGTTTCATCTGACCATATGACATTCTCCCAATCCTCTTCTGGATCATCCAAATGCACTCCAAATGGTCCTCTGTAGCTCAGCTGGTAGAGCACGGCGCTTGTAACGCCAAGGTAGTGGGTTCGATCCCCGGGACCACCCATACACAAAAATGTATGCACGCATGACTGTAAGTCGCTTTGGATAAAAGCGTCTGCTAAATGGCATATTATTTATTATTATTATTCAGATGGGCCTGGACATGTACTGGCTTAAGCAGGGGGACACGTCTGGCACTGCAGGATTTGAGTCCCTGGCAGCGTAGTGTGTTACTGATTGTAGGCTTTGTTACTTTGGTCCCAGCTCTCTGCAGGTCATTCACTAGGTCCCCCCGTGTGGTTCTGGGATTTTTGCTCACCGTTCTTGTGATCATTTTGACCCCACGGGGTGAGATCTTGCGTGGAGCCCCAGATCGAGGGAGATTATCAGTGGTCTTGTATGTCTTCCATTTCCTAATAATTGCTCCCACAGTTGATTTCTTCAAACCAAGCTGCTTACCTATTGCAGATTCAGTCTTCCCAGCCTGGTGCAGGTCTACAATTTTGTTTCTGGTGTCCTTTGACAGCTCTTTGGTCTTGGCCATAGTGGAGTTTGGAGTGTGACTGTTTGAGGTTGTGGACAGGTGTCTTTTATACTGATAACAAGTTCAAACAGGTGCCATTAATACAGGTAACAAGTGGAGGACAGAGGAGCCTCTTAAAGAAGAAGTTACAGGTCTGTGAGAGCCAGAAATCTTGCTTGTTTGTAGGTGACCAAATACTTATTTTCCACCATAATTTGCAAATAAATTCATTAAAAATCCTACAATGTGATTTTCTGGAATTCTTTTTCTCAATTTGTCTGTCATAGTTGACGTGTACCTATGATGAAAATTACAGGCCTCTCTCATCTTTTTAAGTGGGAGAACTTGCACAATTGGTGGCTGACTAAATACTTTTTTTCCCCCACTGTACTCCATGGTGGTTTAGCTGAACATCTGCCAATTAAATAGTATGCCTCATGTAATCTCACAGTTCTATCTACCTAAAGAAATCAGAGGACTCGTGATCCATAGTATTAACAACTCATTGTCTCTGTCATGCTATTTAAAACAATCCATTACATATGATACAGGGATAAGAATTACTAATAGCATTATCACATATCAGATGGCTTCATGTTGGTGTTCATAGACAAGTAGTTTTGGTGGTGGCTGAGCCGTAGAATTTTGATCTAGTTTTCCTCTCCTTCTCTTACCCATTCATGTGACTGTATAGATTTTCTGATTGTGCAACGTTTTTGACCAACTGCATGTACTCTACTTTGGCTCTTCATGTATTTCTGTTTCTTCATTAACATATCTGCAGCAGTCAACTACAACACATAGCTTATCTTTAGCCTGGTCCCACATCTGTTTTGTGCTTTTGGCAATTCCATTACTGTCATTGTCAAGCCTAACATGGCATGACGATGAATGACAAGGAGTTGGAATGGTGGCACAAACAGACTGGCATTCAAGCAATCTTATCTTGACAATGAAATGAATGTTTAGGTAACTTCTATTGTACTCTCCACCCCTCAGTACTGATAACATATGTCTCCTCCCTGGTCCTGTCAGGTATAAACCAGCAGCAGCAGGACACAGGCTTCACAGGAGCCACCACCCCCCAGAGCCCCCTCATGTCCCCCCGCATGAGCCACGCCCAGAGTCCCATGATGCAGCAGCAGGCCCAGGCCAACTCCTCCTACCAGCCCTCCTCTGAGATGAACGGCTGGCCTCAGGGCAACATGTCAGGAAACAGGTGAGACTGACTGGCAGCTCTGACTGGATCTCTGATAACGAAGGTTGCAAAATTCAGGTAACTTTGGAAAGGGTTTCCAGGAAATCCTGGTTGGAGGATTCCCTGAATCAGGAGGAAATAAACAGGAAATCTGTAATTCTTCATCCAGGATTTCTGGAAAACCAGAATTTTGCAACCCTATTGCTAACCTTTTGTATTTAGCATTTATTTAGTTGTTATGATCATAGACTTATATGTTTTGACTGCATTAATCTACACTGTCTGTAGGATGTATCCAGTATGCTCTCATGATACACATTTTAATCAACCTGTGGTAAAATCTGACTGAACATGTACCTTTGATTTCCATGTTCTGTTTCAGCATGTTCACGCAACAGTCTCAATCTCAGCAGTACGCGCCCCAACAGTCTAATCGTGGAATGTACACCAGCACAAACGCCAACCTGAACATGAACATGCAGGGTGTCCCCATGGCCTCCAACGCCAACGGCAGCATGAGCAACATGAATCAAGTGTCAGCAGGCCAGATGACCATGCCTACAGGAAGCCTGTCCTCCATGGACCCTGAGCAGGTGTGTGTGTGGGTTGTGTGTCCAGTGCAACTACAGGTTCAACTCAAATAAAGCATACTACTTAATGGCAAGTAAACCTGTAAAATATATTGCAGCTCTCACAAAACGAATACATGCTAAACCAGTTATAATTTTAAAAGATACAAACGCGGTATTTAGAAACAACGCGATTAATGACAATTTTAAAATCTTCTATGAAAATGAATTTAAATCAGAATTAAACAGTTGGATGGATCATACAGACTTCTTAGACTCAACAACACTGAAGCAGTTATCAGCAGAAAAAAAATCACTAAAAACAGAGATCACCCAAGAAGAAATATTAGATACTGTTAAAACATTAGCACGGAGAAAAACACCAGGAATGGATGGCTTTCCCAAATAATTCTATTCAACATTTTGGGACAAAGTAGCCTCCCTATTTACACAAATGACAACACGTCACTAAATTCAGTGCTTCCTAGTTCCATGTCTCAAAGTTATTTCAATTATATTTAAACCAGGAATATCTGGAGTCCCCTGCTGATTATAGACCCATACATTTAATAAATTGTGACAAAATAATAACTAAGCTTATAAGCAATAGAATGGCAAGTCTTACCAGACTTGATACACATCAATCAAACAGGGTTTATTTAAAAATTGAAACAAACAAATACAATAACATGTTTCAGTTTAATACAATACGCAAAAAAAAACAAGATACAGATTTATCAATAATGGCTGTTGATGCTGAAAAGGCTTTTGACCTTCTTGAATGGCCTTTTCTATTCTCAACTTTGGAAGCTTTCAAATTTCCAGCTGAAATAATAAATATAATAAAAAGATTGTATAAATGTCCCAAGCAGAGATATATGCAAATAATACATTATCTGATTAAATTGCTTTAGAAATGGGCACAAGACCGGGATGTCCTCTCTCCCCCCTCGTGTTTGCATTGGCAATTGAACCGCTTCTTAAGTCTGAGGGTTGTTTTAACCTTCCGGACTTGGAATTGTATCAACTCGCTACCCAAGGCTTTTACTTGCAACATATAGTTAATGCACTAAAGAGGAACAATGGGTACATATTGAAGATGTGCATGCTCAACCCCCAAATCTTTTTACGTGTCTATTTTCAAAGGATAAAGCTAAGAACATTAACAACTTCATAGTTAAGAACACTGTAACAATATAGAAGAAAATGAAACGTATTCTACAAGAACCAATATCACTCACTAAAAACACAACCTTATGGAATAATCCTTGGATAGCCTTTCAGAATTCACAGATAAATTGGTCCACATAGAAAACTAAAGGCATAGAAACCGTAAATGACTTGGTAACAGGAAATACACTGAACAAAAATACACTGAACAAAATATAAGCGCAACATGCAACAATTTCAAAGATTTTACTGAGTTACAGTAAAATCCCCCCCCCCCCCATTCAATTCTCTGGCAACAGCTCTGGTGGACATTTCTGCAGTCAGCATGCCAATTGCATGCTCCCTCAAATCTTGAGACATCTATGGCATTGTGTTGTGTGACAAAACTGCACATTTTAGAGTGGCCTTTTATTGTCCCCAGCATAAGGTGCACCTGTGTAATGATCATGCGCGTATAATAATCTGTCCTCGGTTACAACACTCACTACCAAGTTCCAAACTGCCTCTGGAAGCAACTTCAGCACAGGAACTGTTCATTGGGAGCTTCATGAAATGGGTTTCCATGGCCAAGCAGCCGCACACAAGCCTAAAATCACCAGGCGCAATGCCAAGCGTCGGCTGGAGTGGTGTAAAGCTCGTCGCCATTGGACTCTGGAGCAGTGGAAACGCGTTCTCTGGAGTCATGAATCACGCTTCACCATCTGGCAACCTGACGGACAAATCTGGGTTTGGCGGATGCCAGGAGAACGCTACCTGCCCGAATGTATAGTGCCAACTTTAAAGTTTGGTGGAGGAGGAATAATAATCTGGGGCTGTTTTTCATGCTTCGGGCTAGGCCCCTTAGTTCCAGTGAAGGGAAATCTTAACTCTACAGCATACAATGACATTCTAAACGATTCTGTGCTTCCAACTTTGTGGCAACAGTTTGGGGAAGGCCCTTTCCTGTTTCAGCATGACAACGCCCCCATGCACAAAGCGAGGTCCATACAGAAATGGTTTGTCGAGATTGGTGTGGAAGAACTTGACTGGCCTGCACAGAGCCCTGACCTCAACCCCATCGAACACCTTTGGGGTGAATTGGAACACAGACTGCGACCCAGGCCAAATCGCCTAACATCAGTGCCCGACCTCACTAATGCTCTTGTGGCTGAATGGAAGCAAGTCCCCGCAGTAATGTTTGAACATCTAGTGGAAAGCCTTCCCAGAAGAGTGGAGGCTGTTACACCAGCAAAGGGGGGACAAACTCCATATTAATGCCCATGATATTGGAATGAGATGTTCGACAAGCATACTTTTGGCCATGTAGTGTATTTTTGTTCAGTAGATCAATATATATTTTGTTGAAACACTCAACCAGAGGATCTGCCCTCAGTCGCTTGCCAACTTGTACTGGTTTGCTTGCTATGCATAGTGTGTTGTGAGGTCTGTAGCATAGTAGTAGGCTGCTTTCCCAAATGGCACAATATACCCTACATCCTTCAAACTCAACTCTGGACCTCGAAGCCAGTTCCACTGCATTTTTTCATTGTTCCCCTCTAATCAGGGACTGTATGCTATTAATGATCAGGTAGAACAGAAAACCAGCAGGCTCTGGACCTCGTAGGGTAAGAGTTGAATACCCCTGCCCTACATGGTACATGACTTTTGACCAAAGCCTTATGGGCCCTGGTCAAAAGTAGAGGACTATATATACAGTGCCTTCGGAAAGTATTCAGACCCCTTGACTTTTTCCACATTTTGTTAGGCTTACAGCCTTATTCTAGAATTGATATTTATTTATTTTTCCCCTCATCAATCTACACACAATACCCCATAATAAAACGGATATGACATTTACATAATTATTCAGACCCTTTACTCAGTATTTTGTTGAAGCACCTTCGGCAGCGATTACAACCTCAAATCTTCTTGGGTATGACGCTACAAGCTTGGCATTCTCCCATTCTTCTCTGCAGATCCTCTCAAGCTCTGTCAGGTTGGATGGGGAGCGTTGCTGCACAGCTATTTTCAGGTCTCTCCAGAGATGTTAGATTGGGTTCAAGTCCGGGCTCTGGCTGGGCTACTCAGGGACATTCAGAGACTTGTCCCGAAGCCACTCCTGCGTTGTCTTGGCTGTGTGCTTAGGGTCGTTGTCCTGTTGGAAGGTGAACCTTCGCCCCAGTCTGAGGTCCTGAGCGCTCTGGAGAAGGTTTTCATCAAGGATCTCTCTGTACTTTGCTCCGTTCATCTTTGCCTCGATCCTGACTAGTCTCCCAGCCCTTGCCGCTGAAAAAAATCCCCACTGCATGATGCTGTCACCATGCTTCACCGTAGGAATGGTGCCAGGTTTCCTCCAGATGTGACGCTTGGCATTCAGGCCAAAGAGTTCAATCTTGGTTTCATCAGACCAGAGAATCTTGTTTCTCATGGTCTGAGTCCTTTAGGTGCATTTTGGCGAACTCCAAGCGGGCTGTCATGCCTTTTACTGAGGAGTGGCTTCCGTCTGGCGACTACCATAAAGGCCTGATTGGTGGAGTGCTGCAGAGATGTTTATCCTTCTGGAAGATTCTCCCATCTCCACAGAGGAACTCTGGAGCTCTGTCAGAGTGACCATCGGGTTCTTGGTCACCTCCCTGACCAAGGACCTTCTCCCCCGATTGCTCAGTTTGGCCGGGCGGCCAGCTCTAGGAAGAGTCTTTGTGGTTCCAAACTTCTTCCATTTGAAAATGATGGAGGCCACTGTGTTCTTGGACCTTCAATGCTGCAGAAATGTTTTGGTACCCTTCCCCAGATCTGTGCCTCGACACGATCCTGTCTCGGAACTCTACGGACAATTCCTTTGACCTCATGGCTTGGTTTTTGCTCTGACATGCACTGTCAACTCTGGGACCTTATATAGCTCAGGTATATAGTCAACTGTGGTCCTCTGTAGCTCAGCTGGTAGAGCAAGGCGCTTGTAACGCCAAGGTAGTGGGTTCGATCCCCGGGACCACCCATACACAAAAAATAAAATAAAAAATAAAATAAAAAAATGTATGCACACATGACTAAGTCGCTTTGGATAAAAGCGTCTGCTAAATGGCATATTATTATTATATTATTATATAGACAGGTGTGTGCCTTTCCAAAGTTGTAGAAACTCCAAGTTGTAGAAACATCTCAAGGATGATCAATGGAAACAGGATGCACCTAAGCTCAATTTCGAGTCTCATAGCAAAGGGTCTGAATACTTATGTAAATAAGGTATTTGTTTTTTGTTGTGAATAAATATGCAAAAATGTGCGTGTCTGAGGAAATTATTTTATTTAATCCATTTTAGAATAAGGCTGTAACAACATGTGGAAAAAGTCAAGGGGTCTGAATTATTTTCAAAGGCACTGTATAAGGAATAAGGTGCCGTTTGGGAGGCAGCCATAGTGTGGTGGTGTAGTGGAACATCAAACATAAGTCTCTGTTTTCCTACTACCACAGGTGAATCATGATAATGCCTTGAGACGAAGGGACAACCTCATTCTAGACCAGTTGGCTGGAATTGACATGTTAACACAAGAAGGTGACGCAACTCCAGTGAGTAACGTTTAATTCTGTCTTTTTGTCCCCCACAATGAAATCAGATGGGGGGGGGGGGGGCACGGCACTATAGTAATCAACTAAAATGTTGCCTTGTTTAAATCATAAACATTTTATTTTTCAGAACTTTTGCTGACCCCAGTCTATTGTTGGACAACATGGTTTACAAATGGTCTACACCCAATGAAAACACTGGCATCCAACCAATCAAGGAGCTCCTGCAGTTCTACATGGGTCTTTGAATGGACAAAGACTCACCTACTGAAGAACACAACTCCCTGAACCCACCAACCGCATTCACCTTAGTGTGACTTAGGTCCTTCCCAAATAGGCTACACGCAGACACACACACACTCTGACACACTTGTGTGTGTGTATGTGTATATATATATATACACACACACAATTGAAGTCGGAAGTTTACATACACTTAGGTTGGAGTGATTAAAACTTCACTCAACCACTCCACAAATTTCTTGTTAACAAACTATAGTTTTGGCAAGTCGGTTAGGACATCTACTTTGTGCATGACACAAGTAATTTTTCCAACAATTATTTACAGACAGATTATTTCACTTATAATTCACTGTATCACAATTCCAGTGGGCAGAAGTTTACATACACTAAGTTGACTGTGCCTTTAAACAGCTTGGAAAAATCCAGAAAATGATGTCATGGCTTTAGAAGCTTCTGATAGGCTAATTGACATCATTTGAGGCAAAGCCATCATACCGCTCAGGAAGGAAACGCGTTCTGTCTCCTAGAGATGAACATACTTTGGTGCGAAAAGTGCAAATCAATCCCAGAACAACAGCAAAGGACCTTATGAAGATGCTGGAGGAAACGGGTACAAAAGTATCTATATCCACAGTAAAACGAGTCCTATATCAACATAACCTGAAAGGCCGTTCAGCAAGGAAGAAGCCAGTGCTCCAAAACCGCCATAAAAAAGACAGATTACGGTTTGCAACTGCACATAGGGACAAAGATCCTACTTTTTGGAGAAATGTCCTCTGGTCTGATGAAACAAAAGTAGAATTGTTTGGCCATAATGACCATCATTATGTTTGGAGGAAAAAGGGGGTCAATTGCAAGCCGAAGAACACCATCCCAACCGTGAAGCACGGGGGTGGCAGCATCATGCTGTGGGGGTGCTTTGCTGCAGGAGGGACTGGTGCACTCCACAAAATAGATGGCATCATGAGGAAGGAAAATTATGTGGATATATTGAAGCAACCTCTCAAGACATCAGACAGGAAGTTAAAGCTTGGTCACAAATGGGTCTTCCAAATGGACAATGACCCCAAGCATACTTCCAAAGTTGTGGCAAAATGGCTTAAGGACAGCAAAGTCAAGGTATTGGAGTGGCCATCACAAAGCCCTGACCTCAATCCTATAGCAAATTTGTTGGCAGAACTGAAAAAGCGTGTGCGAGCAAGGAGGCTTACAAACCTGACTCAGTTACACCAGCTCTGTCAGGAGGAATGGGCCAAAATTCACCCAATTTATTGTGGGAAGCTTGTGGAAGGCTACCCGAAACATTTGACCCAAGTTAAACAATTTAAAGGCAATGCTACCAAATACTAATTCAGTGTATGTACACTTCTGACCCACTGGGAATGTGATGAAAGAAATAAAAGCTGAAATAAATCTATTATTCTGACATTTCACACTTAAAATAAAGTGGTGATCCTAACTGACCTAAGACAGGGAATTTATACTAGGGTTAAATGTCAGGAATTGCAAAAACTGAGTTTAAATGTATTTGGCTAAGGTGTATGTAAACTTCCGAGTTCAACTGTGTGTGTGTGTGTGTGTGTGTATGTGTATATATATATATATATATATATATATATATATATATATATATATATATATATATATATATATATATATATATATATATATATATAAAAAATAACGTACTGATACTCACACAATATAGAAGCAACACTGAACCTGTCAGCAGGCATCTGGTCAGATAAATAGAACGCAGACTATGGCTCCCCTCTGAAAAGGCTCTCTTTACTCCTCTTTTTAGGTGTTTTCCTAATAACAATATTTTCTTTGTCTGAGCGTGTGTTTGTTTGCATACACATGCACAGGTGTGAGACAAAATTAGATCACATGATTTAAAAAATGAAAGAAGTGATATTATAAATGGCTTGAAGAGCATACAATATACAATGGTGTTGATTTTGAATGGTTACATTGTAAAGCCTAACTAAAGTAGTCATTTGAAAGGTTTATAAAATAAATGTTTTACAGGTATTTGTAGTTTTGAAACTTTAGATTTTTTGTATGAAACTATAAAAAGGGGGCAAGGGGTAAGTAGTTTTCTGAACAAGTATCCCTTAAAATGGTACCTTATTGTGTCTATTTGAATTACATATTTTAGGTCCTGTAGTTTCAGATGAAACTGTCAAGTGAATCCCCCTGCTGCGATATGTATGAAGGTGAATGTTCATAGTTTGTATATATTACAGTATAGATTAATGAATTAAGATGTCTGTTTTCTCTCTAGCCTGGTGTTACAGCCACTGAAATATGACGTTTGTTTTGGATTAACTAACAAAGGACTGTTATCAGGGTTTCAACCAATTGCGTAAGGATTTTCCATTGCACTTCACCTCAATCTCATCACAATGAAAGGAATGGACAGACCTACCAATAGGCATAACTGAATACTTTAGGGTGCTCTCTGACTGTTTTGATTTCGGGTGCTGCCCTATAAAAAAGTTGGAAGGTAAAAAAACTAGTTCTGCTTCAGTCGTGTAAAATTAACAGGTTATATGTATTTTTCAAGCCATATTCCTGTACTATTCCCATTTTGTTTATAGTCTGTAAGCACATAGCAAATATGAACTCATAGAATTTATAATTGTTTTAGGAGAAGAATGTGAAAATTCCAAATTTTCTGCAAACACTGAAATGAAGTTGGGCTCACATAATCAAGTGTTTGAAAACGTGTGGCCAGAAAATATATATTTTGTAGGTTTGCACTGGTTATTATGATGTCCCTCTGATGACTCAAAGGATATTTCTTATTTTTTGTGCTGGCCAATTTCTCCCAATTCACTTAACATTTTCCTAAACAAGGCATTATTAAAAAGTTTGAAGATTAGGATGCTCTGATGCAAATTAAGTTATATATATATATATATATATACAGTACCAGTCAAAAGTTTGGACACCTCTCATTCAAGGGTTTTTCTTAATATTTGTTTTACTATTTTCTACATTGTAGAATAATAGTGAAGAAATCAAAACTATAAAATAACACATATGGAATCATGTAGTAACCAAAAAAGTGTTAAACAAATCAAAATATATTCTATATTTTAGATTCTTCAAAATAGCCACCCTTTGCCTTGATGACAGCTTTGCACACTCTTGGCATTCTTTCAACCACCTTCACCTGGAATGCTTTTCCAACAGTCTTGAAGGAGTTCCCACATATGCTGAGTACTTGTTGGCTGCTTTTCCTTCACTCTACGGTCCAACTCATCCCAAACCATCTCAATTGGGTTGAGGTTGGGTGATTGTGGAGGCCAGGTCATCTGATGCAGCACTCAAACACTCTCCTTCTTGGTCAGATAGCCCTTACACAGCCTGGAGGTGTGTTGGGTCATTGTCCTGTTGAAAAACAAATGATAGTCCCACTAAGTCCAAACCAGATGGGATGGCGTATCACTGCAGAATACTGTGGTAGCCATGCTGGTTAAGTGTGCCATGAATTCTAAATAAATCACTGACCGTGTCACCAGCAAAGCACCATCACACCACCTCCTCCATGCTTCACGGTGGGAACCACACATGAGATAATCCGTTCACCTACTCTGCACCTCACAAAGACACGGCGGTTGGAACCAAAAATCTTAAATTTGGACTAATCAGACCAAAGGACTGATTTCCACCGGTCTAATGTCCATTGCTCGTGTTTCTTGGCCCAAGCAAGTCTCTTCTTCTTATTGGTGTCCTTTAGTAGTGGTTTCTTTGCAGCAATTTGACCATGAAGACCTTGTCACAACACAACTGATTGGCTCAAACGCATTAAGAAGGAAATCAATTCCACAAATTAACTTTTAACAAGGCACACCTGTTCATTGAAATGCATTACATGTGACTACCTCATGAAGCTGGTTGAGAGAATGCCAAGAGTGTGCAAAGCTGTCATCAAGGCAAAGGGTGGTTACGTTGAAGAATCTGAAATGTAAAATATATTTTGATATGTTTAACACTTTTTTGGTTACTACATGATTCCATGTGTTATTTCATAGTTTTGATGTTGTCACTATTATTCTACAATGTAGAAAATAGTAAAAATCAAGAAAAACCCTGGAATGAGTAGGTGTCCAAACTTTTGACTGGTACTGTATGTGTGTGCGTGTGTATATATATACACTACCGTTCAAAGATTTGGGGTCACTTAGACCTTTTTTGTCCATTAAAATAACATCAAATTAATCAGAAATACAGTGTAGACATTGTTAATGTTGTAAATAGCTATTGTAGCTGGAAACGGCTGATTTCTTTTTTTTTGTTGGTGTATTTTACCCCCTTTTTCATGGTATCCAATTGGTAGTTACAGTCTTGTCCCCTTGCTGCAACTCCCGTACGGACACGGGAGAGGCAAGGATCGAGAATCGTGCGTCCTCCGAAACACAACCCAACCGAGCCGCACTGCTTCTTGACACAGTGCCAGCTTAACCCGGAAGCCAGCCGCACCAATGTGTCGGAGGAAACACCCTACAGCTGGCGACCGAGTCAGCATGCACTGCGCCCGGCCCGCCACAGGAGTCGCAAGTGCGCGATGGGACAAGAACATCCCTGCCGGCCAAACCCTCCCCTACCCTGGATGACGCTGAGCCAATTGTGCGCCGCCCCATGGGTCTCCTGGTCGCGGCCAGCTGCGACAGAGCCTGGACTCGAACCAGGATCTCTAGTGGCACAACTAGCACTGCGATGCAGTGCCTTAGACCACTGCGCCACTCGGGAGGCCAGAAACTGCTGATTTTTAATGGAATATCTACCTAGGCGTACAGAGGCCCATTTATCAGCAACTATCAGTCCTGTGTTCCAATGGCACGTTGTGTTTGCTAATCCAAGTTTATCATTTTAAAAGGCTAATTGACCATTAGAAAACACTTTTGCAATTATGTTAGCACAGCTGAAAACTGTTGTGCTGATTTAAAGAAGCAATAAAACTGAGACTAGTTGAGTATCTGGAGCATCAGCAATTGTGGGTTCGATTACAGGCTCAAAATGTCCAGAAACAAATAACTTTCTTCTGAAACTCGTCAGTCTAAAGTGGTTGTCCCACTG